TTTTTTTTTTGAGGAGAGAGGGGGAAGGTACATAGAAGATCGCACTGGAGTTTGTGGTTAGGAGAGATGAGAGAAAAGAGATCAAAAGGGTATTTCTGCCCTGTTGTGAATACACACACTTGTGAGCATATTTGTGCATGTGCACGTGTCTCACACTTGCCCTCTCAGAGGACTCTCTCAGCTGTCTAGCACCATTACAAACTGCACGTGCATGTTGCCCTGACTCAGGCAGGACCCCTATCACCACCACCAGAAAGATGCCACATGCTAAGGCCACACTGCTCTTGCAGTGTCACCAGGACAGACAGATCCCCCTGTGCCTTCAATCTGGCAGGCAGAGACACAGAGAGGACGAAGCCTGAAGTCCAAAAGGGTGACTCCCATTTTGGGGCCAAACACTCCCTTCCCTGCCATCAACTGGGAATTTTCTGCTGGGAACCGTTGCCATCAGGACATATTGATGCCCTGAGCCTCAGGTGACATGTGCGGGAGGCTTGGTTTTGACTGGAGATGAACTTCATGCCTGTTTCTACCTGGCACTGCCTGAGACCCAGGTAGGGATGAGGGGTGCAAGCAATGGAACAGTGCAAATACGAAGTGGCAGCCAAGAGGTAGAAGGGTGTGAGTCACCCTGAGACCATCAAGGCATGAGGAGGCAGAGGACAGTTCCACTTGGGTTATCCCACCACAGGGACATGTGGGTACAACCAGCTGGAGGACACCAGTGTTGTAGTTTGAAGCAGATACAAGGCAGAGCATGACTGAGGTGGGAAATGAAGGAGCACTGAGCAAGTTACAAGAACCTCTTTGTCCTGGGCTGGTGCAGAGAGGTTGTGAATGAGGTGCTTCACATCCCTTCTCTAATTCACATTGCTTTCTTTTGCTTGGCTGTAGAATGCTGGGACAGTCTGGACTCTTACTTGTCACTACTTCATGCTTGCCTAAAACTGCTGGCATAAGGGGCATCCAAAGAAGGACAGTGATACTACGAGCATCAACTAACCAGGGAGAAGAGACCTAAATAATTCTGCTTTTACTCACCTGAGCTTTTGAATTAGGCTGTCTGCCTGATTTACTTGGTCTATGTGGTCCTGTGGGAGCCAAGGTTGCATGGTACTGCTGTGGGGGTGGAAAGAGTCACTGCCACTGCAGACCTGCACAGGAGCATCTTCGGGCTGTGGTCGTGTGAAAGACAGGCAGGTTCTGGCAGAGGCTGTGCAGAACACGTGAGTCTGGGACCAGCAGTGCTGGGAGCGCTCTGCACCCCACTCAGGATGCCCCTACTGCACCCTGGTCCTGCAGCCACCTGGGAGGTTCCCAGACCCTTTATCTCAGGGTTGTACAAACCCAACTGCATCTGAGCTTGCCCGTCCATCGCATTGCAGTGGGAGCACAACTCAGAGGTGCGCTGCAGGAGAGGAGCCACAGGAGAAGCTGGCTGCAGGCAAGGAGACATCACCTCCTGCCCAGCCTGCTTTGGATGTGCGTCAGTCCAAGGCCTCCATCACTTGGAGACACATCCCTGTAGATGGAGCCAGAACCTCACAAGGCAGAAGAACAGCCCAGTCCTACCCATTGGCATTCTCGGAGGGACAGACCTCATACAGATTGCTCTGCTCTGAAGAGGGACTAGCCCAGCCCCTCTCCTCCCCACGCTCAAACACCTCCAGGGTTTTGACTCTACTCCCTCTCCAGGCAAACCATTCCAGGGTGTCACATTGTCCCTTTTTATTCAATATTTAACCCAAAACCTTTCTGTTACCTTTTCCTGTCCACCATGGCCATGGAGAGTGGGTAATTCCTGCACCGTGGGCTGCATGTTGTTGCCCCTCTCCAAGCAGTAACATCCCCCTGGGATGATAATGAAGCCCTTAGAGCTGTTTCTAGGATGGATTTACTCGCCACGAGCCCTACGATGGAATTCCCCAAGCCCTGCTGGGTTGGCTGGCAGCACTCACATATTGTGTCCCCTACAGCAGCCTTGGTCCCCTGCCAGAGAAGGTCTGAAGGTCTGTCACAGGGAGCAGAGAGCACTCCAAGTAGGCTGCTGGGGTGAGGGAAGCTGGATGACCCCTCTCTTTTACCTCTGAAGCACATCGTTTGGTGCTGCTCAGCCCCATTCTGTGCATCCATAGGAGCCCCGGGCACTTGAGTAAGGGACCCTTGCCCCTCTGCTAATGGGTCAGGATGTCACCATCACACATGGTGGCCAAGAAGCTCAGGGATGCAGTAACTCTGCAGCAGCATCCTGGACAGCACAGAGGGGTTTGCAGCCTGCAGGGAGGCACAGCCATTCCCATGTGCATAGTCCCCGAGCAAGCTCGTATGAGTGCCCACATTCATCCGTGTGGTGTGTGGCACAGGGGTGCACGCGTGTGTGGCAGGCAGTGCTCTGCCCAGCTCACCCACCTCCCCGGAGAGAAGTATCGATCAAACCTATCAAACCTTCTAGCATGCTTGAGTGACTTCAGCACCCAGAGACTGTTTTTCACCACAAGACACAGTCCATCCTGCACACAACACTGCAGAGCCTGAACTAGTCTGTGAAATAGGATGCAGGTCCTTGGTAGGCAGCGATGCAGCATCTGTCAGGCCCAGCTCCACATAGATGAGTCCCCCTTTGCGTGGCAACAGAGCAAAGGCAGGTTTGGACCGCAGGGAGGATATGGCTCAGGTGGTTTGATAGTGGTGGTTGCAGCAGGACAGGGGACAGGGACACTGTTTGCTGAATACGGTGCAGATGTGAGCACAGGTCATCCAAGCCCCAGGGTGGCTTTTGCCCACATCAGGTCTGCTCCACCCTTCCCACCCTGGGGAGTCTGGCTGGCTCCTAGTCTTTGCCCAGACATGATGCTCAGGAAAAGCCAGGTTGTGTCATGCTTTCTGTTCCTTCTGACACTTCTGAGGGGGCCCCAGCACCACTGAGAAGCCTGGGAAAGAGTAAAAGCAAAGGAAGATGATACTGCCCCATCCCTACCACTATGACCCCAGTTTTGCTCTAGATCTGAGGGTTGTTTCTAGCTTAGTCAATAGAAAATTGGGGAGGGAGAGGTACAGAGGCCCACCTCCAGGGTTTCTCCCCAGGACCACCCCTCCTTGCTGGCGCCCCACTCTAGATTCAGGGCATAGCTTTCCAGCTAGCTTTTATCTGCCAACAGCACCCTACAAGCCAATGAGCCCGTGGGTCCTGGGTCCTGGGCTTTAAAATCTGTTAAATAGAGATTGCTTGGAGTCTGACCACGTTTGCAAGGCAGTTGGCTAGGAATATTCGCCCTTGGTGAAGGCAGAGTGCCCCAACCCAGCGTTTCCTGACTGTCCGACAGCATGCCCACTCTGGAGCATCAGGCAGAAAGGAGCGAGAAACTTTGCTGCCTTTCACAGCCCCACAAGAAACTCTCCCTGGGTGGCCCAGAGTCTCCAGAGCAGGGTCTGAAATTACAAAAAAGCGCTGATTTAAGAACCTGAAAGTGGCCACAGGGAGATGCAATGAGGGCAAGATTTCCTGGCATGGAGCTGGTGGGACCTGCCTTTCCTGATAGACACACCAGAGCCACCAGCCTGGCCCAGTGACAGCAGCAAGCTGCAAAGAGAGAGACCCTGAAAAGCCTGTGTTGTGAGACCCAGTGAGAGGAAACGTGTGGCAGATAAGAACATGTCGAGGAAAAACACAAACCAGAAGCTCCCGAGGAATTTTGGAAAGGAAATGGGGAAGTAACTGCAGAAAAGGGGCAGGGGGCGGGGAGGGAAACGCACAGCAGTTTATGGCTCACAACAAATAGTCTGTGCCACCTCGCCAGGCACTCGCCACCTCTCCTTCCTGTCCAGGGGACACCCAGCAGCGGCTGTCCCAGTCAGGCAGGAGCACTGGGATCACACAGATGGCTGGTGCCGGCTCCTGGGGGGTCAATACCAACAGGAATTGGGGAAGAAACAAAACCAAGAGAAGCTAGCAAGAAAATATCAATCCCAAGGTGTCAGCTAGGGAGAGGAGGCTGCAGGTCCTGTCTTGTCAGTAGGTAGAGAGGGGACAGCTGAGGCCAAGGCTGGCAAATGCCGGGTACCTCCTGAGGTCCCGTGGTGCATGTTGCTTGGGTGCCCACCCACAACCCCACAGCTATTTCTGGCAGGTCAGAAACCACTCCATCCCCTCCCCTTACCCCTCTTGCCTTTGCCTCCCAGTACAAGCCCCACAGCATGGGGTTCCTGTGAAAGCAGCCCCCCTCAATCCACCCCTCACCCTGCAGCTATTTTAGAGAAAGGCAGGAGGTATTTTTAGTGCTGCCGGCTCCCGGGAGAAGCTCTGAGCCTCTGAGCCGCAGCAGCGCTGGCGCCAGAGAAACTGCCACTGCTCTGGCTGATATTTCTTGTTTAATTAAACTCAATCCATCCCGGGGGCCAGGCCTTGGCCACCAACTCAGCAAGGAGGGGAAAGAGCAGAGCCAGAAAGCCGGGAGCTGAGGGCTCTGGCAGATGCTGGGAATTGCTCCGCAAACATTAGAAAAGCCAGGCATGGGACTTTGGGGGAAGTTTTGCCAGGCACAAGGGAGCAGGATCGCTCCGAAAGGGGCAGGGAGTAGGATTTAATGGGAGCAGAGCCCAAACTACCACCTCAGCAAAGGCAAAAGACCCCATACCAGCACCATCCCATCCTGCTCTCCTGTGGGAGATGGACTCAAAGGGGACATCCAAGGCTGGACAGACAGCACCTAAAGGCAGCTTGGAACAAAGCAGAGGGATTTGCCCAGTGTGTGCAGGGCAAGATGGGGAGATCCTTCCTGGTAAACAAAAGCCCAAGCTGGAGCTGGAGCCCGGTAGGAAGTCTGGGGGCTGTCTGGTTAGCCAGCATCTGGTGAGCACAAGCTGCGGCTGGAGGCTGACAAGCAGCGGCACAACCCCTCCTTCTTCCCACGCCCACCACCCGGCGTCTGTCCGGGGGCCCCAATCTGCCATCGAGGAATGGGGGGAACGACAGCCTGGAGAAAACACAGCACCCGCCGGGATTTAGGGTTGTTTCTTTTTCCCTGTGCAAAAAGAACAGCACGTTTATTCCTGCGCTCCCTTAAATTTCAGGATACATTTCCAGCAATCCAGACACCAAGCTGGCATTCCAAGCAACAGTATATTTTATATAACTGATTTTTTTTTGTTTTTACCACTTTATAAAGCCATACAATGAACTGCAAAGAATCCAACATCTGTACAATGGGAAGACAAAAGCGGTGTCACATTCACACATGGACATGGTGTGACCGAAGTCATACTTAAACACGCAACAACATTATGGGCACAAAGATACAAAATATAATGTATTTTTTTTCCATCTATATAAATACACAGAAATGGGCAAGTCTAAAAGTTTGAAACTGTTCATTAACACTGATTAGCAAATAAATCTGTAACATTCCCAAAGTAACAAAGACAACAACAACAAAAAAAATCCACACATAACACAGCGGCACAGGATCTGCCAACAGAAATGTTGGGTTGCTTCCTTTTTTTCTTTTTAATTTTTCCATTTTAAGAAAAAAAAAAAAAAAAAGAAAAATGAGTAACCCCAAACCAACCTCACAATTTGCAAAACAAACGAACGAAATGAAACAAGCCCCTGCGGGCTCCTTTGCTGTCTGATCCTCCTGCCTGCTCCAACGGGAAGGGTTGCCTTTTGTTGATGCTGCTGTCTGGGGTTTTGGGGCAACTGGTTTCTTTACCCGCCCGACCTGCTGGGTCGGGATTTACTTTGCGCTGCAGTTCAAGCAGTTGAACTCACTGGAAAATCGATGCCCAGGGGCTGGGTTGGGTTTTTCTCCCTACCTGGTTTGTTTTCCATGTGTGGTTTGACCAGGGGGCAGCCAGCAAATGTTGCATCCGGAGCAACCCCAAACTTTGCTCAATTTATCTACTTAAACCCATGAACCCCCCCCCATCTCCACTTGCAATGAGGGTGTGGCAAAGGCCATGAGATGGATGCATCCTATCAGCAGATGATGACATGGATCATCTCCCAAAATAGCTTCTGGGATGGGCAGAGCCGGAGGCAGCCCCACTGAATGGAAACACCAAATTTTGCACATTGCAGGTGCTACCATTTGGGACAGGCAGCAAACAACACGTCCCCCAGGGAGCATTTCCCAACAGATAGCAACACTGACAGCAAAGGGAGGACGGGAGGAAAGGGGCTTCTCTGAAGAACAAACTGACACGAAATGGGCACGTACAATAAATTTACACACGCAAAAAAAAAAAATATATATATATATGTGGGGAAAAGTGCGTTTTCAAGGATATCTTTGGCAAGAATATATGCAGTTCTTTGTGCAGGAAGGAGGGATGTGTTTGTGTGTGTGTGTGAGCGAGAGAGAGATACCATCCGGCTGCTGACAACGGCAGTGTGATTACAACAAAACATATGCTGCGCTTTACTCGCACAAGCTCAAATCTCAGATACCATGACTGCATTTAAAAATGAAAGAAATAAACCCAAAGAGTCTTTTCTGTCCCTTTCATAAAGAGAAAAATATCAACACTAAGTCCCCGCCAGCCCCAGGACCTGGGTGATCCTCAACACCGGCTGGCAGTCTCTCCCCAGGACAGAAAGGGTAGTTACACCTAAAAATGTAACTTTTAAAACGAGATTAAAGGAAAAAAAGTGCCTTTAAAGGGAGCTGACAAACACCCGGCTACATCATTGGAAGGTGATTAGCTGTGTGTTAAAAAACTAATATAATCATCAGTCAGTTTTGTTAGTGTTTGAGATTTGGATATGGTCTAAATCTTCAGCTAGTGGGTTAGTGGGGAAGCCGTGAGAGGCTCAGGGCCCAAAGCAGGCGTGATGCTATCGGCAGGTATCTGCTGGGGTCGGCTTCTACGCGACATCTCTGGGGTGCTTAGATCTGCTTCGTTTGTACAGGGAGAAAAAGAAGAATGGGAGTTTCAAGCACCAGTTTCTGAGGCAGCAGATTAAAATAAAATTACACTATTATCATCTCTTTTCTTAGCAGTGAGAAAACCAAGTCTGAAAAATAGAGGCTTTCAAAAATATATTTTTATATATCTATAAACACAGTGTTTTCTCTAATCAGTGAATGGCAGGGTGAGGAGATTACGGGTGATATCATCTCTCATCTCGCTTGAATTTCGCAGAAGGAGGGAATAGCTTTTCGCAAACATCAAAAATTAAAAGGTCTCTGCATCCATGTGGACAGGGAGCTGGGGAGGGGGAAGCCCCCCCCCAGACTCCCCTGTCCCACCATCATCTCGTAACCATACTCCTCGCTCTGCATCCTCTCACGCTCGCTTCAGTACATCAGTACAGCCTCCGGCCGTGCCAGCCCCCTCCGGGCACCCACGCCGCTCGCTCCCCCACGCGTGTGCACACACACACACACACACACACACACACACACACACACACACCCCCCGGTCACGCGCACACCGCCCCAACACGGGGGGGACCCCTGCGCCTCTTCCCCCATCCATATTTTTCCTTGCTCTGGATTTTCTTTTAACGTGCAGGTGTTTCCCCGGGGCAGGGGAAGTGGGGGAGGAGGATATAATGGGGGAGATACGATGCGCGGAAAGCAGTATGGTAAAAATAAATATTTTCGGAGTGTAAATTTAACCTTTTTTTTCCTCCTTAAAATTTCATTAGCTTACAGTATTTTGTCAGTATAGCTCGTATATATATTATAGCTATCAAGGCAAGGGCAGTTTGAGGGAGACAAGCTCTCCTGGGGGCCTGCAGTGCTATGCTTCTAATTTTTGCCCCCAACAGACTATCTGGGCCACTTTGCACTGAAAACTTCTCCCAAAAAGCTCTCGAGGGAAGGGGAAATATTTGCAGACAAGAGCTCGGCAATGACCTTGCGGTTCCAGCCGGACCATTCCCCCTGTCCCAAGCCTGCACGTGTGACCGAAGCACCCTCTGCCCCCTCCCCAGCACCACAGGGCTGGGACCTCCACCTGCTGCCCCCCAACCATGATCCCCTGCCCGCAGCAGCACAGGGGCCTTTCACCCCTCTCGCCCCCCCACTGGCCCTCCTCACCCCTCAAAGCAAAGGGAAAAGCCAACAGCACCGAAGCCACTGCAAAACTACGGTGCATTCAGGGGGGCATGAGCCTCCAGCCAGCCGGTTTTGGGGGTACACGCATGCCAAGCAGGGTGGCTCTCGGAGGACCTGTTACCTCCCCACTGAGCCAACATGGTCGAGTGACTGCAGGTCCTTCCCTTTTTTCTTTTTAATCTTCTGCCTTCTTTTTCTTTTTTTTTTTTTTTTTAACGTGGCCTCCAAAATAAAAGGAGAAAAAAGCGCCTGAGTTACTTGTAGTCATTCACCTTTCGTGCAACTTGAACGTCCATGCAATTTAAAAACTGCTTGCACGTCTCCAAAGAGCGAGATAAGGGGTAGCCACGGGTCCACTGCTTCACACAGGGAGCTCACCTGTGCCAGCATACGCTATTATTATAATTACTATTATTATTACAATGTTTTTCTTTCCTTTCTGTTTTGGTTTTTTTTTTTTGTGTGTGTGGTAAGAGAACGTGTGACAGGCCACAGGAGAAAACTGCCAAAGAGGACTAGTGACAGGAGGGAAAAGGGGAAGACAGGAGAAGAGGCGACTTTCTGCATCCTCCAGGGAGGTTCCCAGGGAGCATCTGCCTTCCCCAGGCACGGGGTGGCAGGAGCTCCCCCACACCTCCTCGCAGGCTGGGGGGTACAAAGACCCCCAGGGACGTGGGGAAATGCCGTGACCCCCCTCTCTGGGTGGACTCACAGCAGCTCACCTGTGACCAGCGCTGGGCTCTGGGTCAGCAACGGAGGTCAGCCCACAGCCGAGCTCCCTGGGGATGGGAGGATTCAGGACCAAGCCCCCCCACTCCCCCAGCAAGTTGCCAGGTGGCCGTCAGGTTTCAGGAGAAGCACGGGGGGCTGGTGAGGACCCTCTGCTGCAGCTGGGCAAAGGAAGGTTTCTGAAGGCATTTCCTTCGGTGTCCCACAAACCAACCCACGTCGGTATCTCCTATGGGTCATTTCAAACACACCGCAGATGTTCACTGATGGAGCTGTTGGGACAGAGCTTCTTCCATGGGTTTTGCCAGTTGTCTCTTTTTTTTTTCCAGATGGAAAACACCACTCATGGTCCCACAGTTGGTCCCAAGTGGATGTCACCACTCAGGACAGTGATGCTGAAAGCTGGGAACACACCTCTCACTGCTGCCTTTGCTTTGGTCACCTTCCCTGCGATGGGACATGCATCCTGTCTGGCGTGACTTTGTGGCTCTCTTATGTAGGTGCGTGCTTTTGGTTCCTCTAAGTGTGTGTTTGGCTTGTGTTGAGTTTTTAGGGGTTTCGTTGTGTTTCTTTTGCTTGTTTGCTGTTTTCCTCCAAAATTCCAACCCTTTCCCCCCCACCCCACCCCCCAATTCACTTCCCTCTCCCACAATGCACTTCCTCACATTCCTTCTCGGATCAGCTCCAAGTCCTTCTCCAAAATTCAAGAATCACCCGCAAGCGCCAGCTCATCTTTTCTGGCCGGAGCCAAGCATGACTCTGGAGACAAAGTTGACAATGGCTGCAGCTGGCTGGTCTGGGTCCAGCTCAGCAAAGAGGTGGCAGATATTGTCTGTGGTGCTCCCTTGCTTCCTGGCCACAAAGCCGAAGAGCCTGGGTGGGGAGAAGGCAAGAGGCTCAGTGAGGTTTGCCAATGTTGCTCACCCAAGGAACGCCACAACCCTCCTCCAGCATGGTCTTGTCCACCTTCCCCTCTTTAACATCTACTTCGCACAACACAGGGGAAGACATCCCAAACCAGCCTTCATGAAGACCCATCTACTCTTCCCTTTGCTGCAATTTCTCTGAAGGCCAGTACTGCGTTTTCATCATCTCTTGACCAAACTCCTCTCTGCTCTGCCCATCCCTGCCACCCTCCCCTAGATCATCACCAAGAAGGGATGCATTGCCTTGGTTTGGGTGACAACTCTTGAAACCACGGAGGTGTGATGGGCTGGCCATTGGGATAGACCCTGTATGAGAGGAAGGCCATGTGGGGACACAGGGAGCTAAGTGAGTCGATGCAGTTATTTCTGTTTGTCTCTCCCCTGATGAGTAAAATGTCCTTTTTTTTTTTTTTTTTTCTTTTTAATTAGAACATGCAAACTCAAGTTATAAATATGGAGGAACAGAATGTGAGACAGGCCCAGGCTGTGGTGTTTCTAATTGGGGAGAGGAAATATCCCAGCAGCTGGTCATCCTAATAAAAACCCCTCCACTAACACAATGGCTAAAATTAGTGGGAATTGTCCCCTGGAAATGGGCTCAGCCAGTGGCTCTGCACTCACATGGCTCAGGACAGGGAGGACAGGAGGAAAGGGAAGAGCTGGACAGTGGCTCACATACCATCAACATAACCTCCGGCTCTGCTCCATGAGCCATCTCCCTCTGACTCTGCTGAGAGAGTTTCCAGAAAGGCCAGTTCAGCAAGGACCATGCCTGCTCTGACCAGGAATTTCAGGCTACAAGATGCTTCCTGAGTCCCCAGGACCATGTTCTCATGCTTGGGTGAATCAGCCTTAGCTCCTCACTGCAGGAACATCTCACTCATGGCCAAGAGACTGCCCTGCATGGGACATCTTCCAGCCAATGTTCAAACACGAGCGGGAACAACCCTGACAGCGGCTGGGAGGAATCAGTTGGGAAGCACAGAAAGTACTTACTTGGCTGGGCTGCTGCCATCAGTTTTAGTCCACCTGCAAGGAAAAGAGGAGGTGTGAGAGATAGTGCCTCCTGCACCCCACAGAGAGACAGGGCCATGATGGGGGCCACTGCACCAATGCTGGAAGTCCAACCTGGCTTTGCACAGGCTTGGCTCTGTGGAAAAAACCTGATGCACCTCTCCCTCAGCATGAAGATGCTTGGAGACACCAGGAAGTCACCAGGAGAAGCTGGTGTTGCCCCACAATATTGAAGGGGAACGTCCATCCCTGCTCTCCTCAGGAGCACGGGGGACAGAGCAAGCAAAGACCCTGCTCCAAGCAGGCCAGGAGCCTGGGTGAGGTAAAGGGACTGGGGACATGTGCTCCCTCCAGGTTAGGGCACTCACTTTCGTTCCTGGGGATCCAGGTCACAGAAGGTGACAGTGTTGAGGGGGTAGTGTCGTCGGAAGAACAATCTGAAACACAAATCAGGGAGTGTCAGGGCCAGGGAGCCCCCACCTCTGCCCAACCACAGCCCAGCCCCACTGGCATAGGGGATACTCCATAGGTCTCCCCTAGGATGCTTCAGGAATCGAGGACAAAGCCCAGCCCTGCCCATGATCAGGTTCACGCCACCCCAGGGACATCCTTCATCAACACACTCCCTGGATCACAGCCCTACTGGCTTTGGGGACCCAAAGACATGGCCATGGGAGCTCTTACTTCCTCTGGTTGTCAGTTAAGGTGATGCCTTGTGCAGAGACTTTGAAGTGGACAATGGTAGCAGTGGGCGTGGGGTCAGCCACCAGGGTCTCAGCAACAGCCTTCGCAATGGCCTGGGGGCCCGTCAGCGACTCCATCTCCACCGAATTGATGAAGAGGACATTGCAGGCTGGAAAGGGAGACAGCAGGCGTGGGGTCAACCACTGTTCCGAGCCACATTCACCCCACAACAGCCCCTTTCTACTCACCCGCACCCTGTTTGAGGAGGTCTGTGGCTGAGTTGGTGGCCGACACAGTGTCTTTCTTTTCCTCCATGGGATCTAGAAGACATGTGATGGTTACTGGTGCTCCATGCTTGGAAACCTCCCTCGTCCCCACAGGTTGTGGGTGCGGATACAATCCCTTCTGGTCCTGGCTCTTACCTCGGTCAGGAATAACCAGCTTGCAGGGCAGGGCCAAGGGCATGATGGAGTGCTGGTACACCAGGGCCGAGAGACAGCCTAGGGAGAGAGGGGAGGTGGTCAGTGCAAGACTGGGGATGCAGGTTTCCCCAGTGTTAGGTCACTGTTGCTCTAGGTGGATGGGAACAGGCTTGTTGGTGAGTTTCTTCACTGCGGTCCTAATGCCACAAATGGCAATTCCTCTTGCTGAATCCACCATGCCCACAGAGGGCTCAGGGAGGGGACAGAGATGCCAGGGCCACCCTAGGAACAAGCGGGGCAGAGGTCCTCGTGCAGTGCCTCACAGCACATTAGCCATGGGATAAATGAAACAAAGGGAGCCCCTGCCCTCCACTCTGCCCAGCAGCATCGTTTGTCCTACATGTGTGTGCAGATAGGTACATACCTGTGCAAATAGGCACATTTGTACACATTCATAAATATGCATAACCCCAGAGGCTCCAAATGGCCACAGGACTCAGTTACACAGGGACAAGAGGCAGTAACAGAGGCAGCAGCTCTCCGGGACACCCAACAGCTCTGCTTTGATGGTCCAGCAAAGGCAAGGATCTCCCAACCCAACCCCACATGTGGGAGCACTGGGGGCACTCACCAAAATTTGGCTCGTTGGGGCATCCTTTTAGTTTCACACCCCGCGGGCTGGTCTCGATGAGGAAGTGCCTCACCAGCTCGTTGGTGATGTCTCCTGGGAACAGACAGAAAGTTCTCACACCAGAGTCACCCTCCTCCTCCACAGTCCCATGGGGAAACCAGTGCTTCAGCTCGAGGGAGGGGTCTCTGCCACTCCACATGTCCTCCTCAAATCCAAACCTTTGCACAGGGTTGACCCAGGCCAGGCTCCCCCATGGTGTTGGTGGGCTGAGGAGGCTGTTCCCATTTCACCATGCCAAAGCCCAAGACGCAGATGCCCCTGAGCCCACTGCAGCTCAGGGCAGAAGCTGTCTGGTGCTTCCCTGTGCCCTGGGAGGGAAGGGAGGGATCCTGCCACATCAGCACAAACCCAAGGGCACGACTGGCTCAGCAGACCCAACTTCCCGCTCGCCCCGGACGAACGATGGAAAGCATCTCCGCGTGGGATGGAGAGGGGCACACAATACCTTTCTTGTTCTGCTGCACGACCGTGGGAGGTGGAGAAGCTACTTTCATGGCGAGACCGTAGGCTCCCCGGAAGGAGTGGCTGTCTCGGATGATGAAAGCCCCTGGCTCCCTGTCCTTCAGCAGTGCGATGGCTGCAGGAGAGTACAACAGACCTCAGAGCCAGCAAGGCAAGAGCCGATGTGCCCTCCAAAATCAGGAAGGTGTGGGTTGGGCTGGGGTGCCCCAGCCCCACAGCCTCACAGCCGGGCACGACAACGTTACTGTCCCCACTGTGCATCTGGACGGGGCTCTTGAGCAGGTCTGTGGTCATGCAGGGGCTCATCTCTCCCCAACCTTTTCTGCCCTTGCGTGGGCATCTCAGAGGATCCATTCCTACCCAGCCCAGTTCTGAGTAACCTAGAACTGGAGAGCAGGCAGGAACCGTGGACCAAATTCTGGGACCTTGCCCCTGCAGGCACCTTGCCCCCTCCTTATCCTCCCCCTCTTATTTTAGCCATGTCTCCAAGACCCCTCTGAGATCTCTCAAATCAAGATTTGGGTGCTTTGCACCCCCAAACTACATAGACCCAAACTGCATCATGCAAACCTGCGGCTGAGCTGGGCTTCAACCCCCCTCTGCAATGGTCTGAGCATCTACAATCCAACTTCAGTCCTAACCCAGCCCTTAAGGGAAATCCTTGCTAATTCCTGTGATCCCAGATACACCCAAGATACACCCCAGCTCCCAACCATGGCTCACTCAACCATATCCTTCACCCTGTGCCAACTACCCACCCTGCTCCCTGGAGATCTCCGGTTTGTACCAGTACTTAGAAGTGTCCTGCACAAACTTGACATTGGCACGAGTCTCAGGGCTGATGTCTACAAGGAAAGGAAAATAAGAAAATAGTTAAAAGACGCTGTACCTAAAAATCCACAAGTTTTTAGCAAATCAGGCTAAAGCGTTAATACCTCCACCTCCTTTCAGCCCCAGTACGTTGCTTTAATCTCAACCCACTCCTCCACATCCAGGCAGGCTGATCAGCACCTGGAGCTTATGGAGCTGCTGGGCATCTAAAGCTAAATCCAAGCACAAGGGCCCTCGAAGGAGTGTGCATCAGATGAGCCTCCTTGCCACACAGCCAGAGACAAAAAGGGGAATTCATCATTTAAAAGGGAGCTAGCCAGGTGAAATGAAAGCTGTCAGAGGAAAGAAATATGTCCAGAGGGTAGGGAGGGGGGAGATCCTCTGACTTCAAAGGACCTCCGCTGCTCTCTAATGTTCAAGATTTAGCTCATCCATCATAAAAATAAATTCCTTCCCTTATATTTGCTCTGTGCAGAGGAACTGGACAAGTCAACATACCCTGGTAAAAACAGCCCTAGCCCCAGCCCGACGCTGCCTCACTCAGTGCCCATCAGTGTCACAGCCCCGATGGGAGCCGGTCCTCAGGCCACAAAGCTGTCACTTTGCTCAGGCAACATTTCCCCACACCTGCTTTCCAAAAACAACCGAGCAAACAACCCAGAGGGCCAGATAGCATCTCTGCTGGAGACGTGTTATCAGCCCCCTGCAATCTGGTCACCTTCAGAGAGGTGGGGGGGCTCACTCCCTTCCCCAGCCTGCTTGCTAATTGTTATGGGGTTTAGTTGCTCCTGCATCCCCGCTGGGAAAGATCCCCAGCCACAGCAAGTCACGGGGCCGGGGCGGGTGCCAGCGCGCCCACAAAGGGCTGCCCACTCGGCAGCGAAACCGGCCTGGCAGCCGGAGCCACTGCTGCCCCGTGGCTTTATTCCCCTGGTCCTATCAGCCCGATCTTGGCGTCACCGAGGTGTCCCGCGGGAGCCAGCGAAGGTGTTCCAGGCGCGGCGGCACCCGGGGCACGGCACACCGTTTGAAATGAGAAAGCAGGGCCGCAGCGGGGTCTCGGCAGGGTAAAGCCCGCCAGGAACGGGGCCAGGAGGTCAGCGCATCCCCACAGCAGAGAAAAGCCGCCTCCGGGAGCTTTGATCTCCCCGTACACAACTCTGGGCGCTGTTTACGCCAGCGATGACGGGTTGGTGCTTTTCCTGTTTGGATTTGCCAGAAAGCACGGGAAATGGCCCAAGCCCCAGCAGTGCCGCCGGTTTGCGGATGATCAGGAGGGGTAAATCAAGACGTGGCTGCAACCCCTTCCCCGCCGGCCAGCGAGGAGAAGGAAGGGAGAGCCCTGGGCAGGCCGGGGGACGCAGGGACCTCTGAGGGCATCCCTTACCTGGCATGGAGAACTTGGAGAAGTCCGGCAGGGTGTGGGAGAACGTGACGGTGCTCCCACCGCTGGGGCTGGACATGCCACTGGAGAGGGGCGAGGACGCCTTGCCGTTGATGGTGGCATAGCTGGGGAGGCTGTTGGAGCGGTCCCCGGCTGACATCCGCCGCTTCTCGGGCAGCGCAGGCTGTGGCGTGGGGCTGCCCTGGCGGTAGGCAGCCGAGTCCGGGGAGGAGGAGTGCGGCGTGCTTGTGCCGGGGTAGTACGCCGGCGAGACGGGGAAGGATGGCGTGGAGGGAGGCTGGTAGCCAGAGGAGCTGCTCTGCCGAGACAGCGTCGGGCGCCTTTCCTCCGGGCTGGGGTAGCCGTACAGGGGGCTGCCAGGGGGCACGGCCACCACAGCTTGATGCCTGGCCAGGCTGGGGCTTCCCGGTGGGGCCACCAGGTTGCCATGAGCCACCACGGTGTGTCTGCCCAGCCCGGGGCTGCCGGGAGTGCCGCTCATGCCAGGGTTGACGGCTCTTCGCCCGAAGCCAGGGCTGGGCGGCGTGTTGGTAGCCACTGTCCGGTGCAGGGTGCGGGGGCTCCCCGGCAGGACGTGGACCCCCACCACATTGACCTGTGGCTGAGGCCGAGATTGGGGGTCTGGCTGGAGGTTGGCTCGGCCATCAGGGTAGTCAGGGCTGGCATACGCTGAGCCCGGGACCCCACCTTGGACCATTGCAAAGGAAGATGGAGACGAGTTTTGGTAGCTGCTGTGAGCAGAGGGTATCTGCGAGCCAACAGGCAACCGGTAAACAGGCTCAGCCGAGGCGTGGGGAGGTGTAACCGTGCCATGGGGGCTGCCCTCCGATGGGTAGCTGCGGAGGGAGGCCCTGGGGAGACATGAGGAGAAGGAGGATTCAGCTCCGCTGCTTGTTCCTGCTGCTGGCTGGCACCCTCGTGCGAGTGGTGCACAGGGAAACTGAGCCACGACACCAGCAAACTCCTTGGTTGTTTAGAGGCAACAGAGGGATGGGTCCTGCCAGCTGCATGAAAGCAACTAGAGGCAGCTTTAGTTCCACCATGCATCCCAATTCCCTCTCAGAATATGACATTCTGGGAGACAGAGCCTTTTTCCAGCTACTGTTCCAGCAAAATACCCAATTTGTTCCTCCCTGCCAGCCTTGCCAGGCTGGGCTAGTGCGGGACACCTCATGGGCAGGTTGTAGAGGGGACAGGAAGGATGGCTCCATCGTACCAGAAGGGACCAATGCTCAGCCTAACCCACAGCTAGGGCTTAGTACAGACCCCATCCCTCCTGCCACCCCAGGGGCCAGGTTCCCAGTGAGATGCTGTTAAGATCCAGTGACCACCAAGTGACCACCAGTGACCCAGCTTTGTGTCCTCAGGGCAGTGAGCCACATGGTTGGCTGAGACACCTCCCCCCCCCCCCCCCCGCTGTGTGAGGAGGCGGGGGTCCTTGCAAAGGCAATTTCAATGTGGGAGCAAGCCTGTGCACCAGGCAGGGTTCATCCTTGGCCCCACCAGCCCCCGGGGTCTGCACCCACTGTCTTACCCGTCCACGCTGTGAATGGGGCTGCTGGTGGAGACGGGGCTGGGGGCAGTGAAGGAGTTGGCGAAGGTGCCGTTCCTGGCAGGCACCTCTGGGCCCCCCGGCTGGGTGGTGGGCAGGGTCCCTCCCCTGCCCGTCGTGGCCGTGCGGGCCACTGACTCAACGTAGCTTCTGGGCTCTGCAGCAAAAGAGAAGGCGAAATGGATGAGCCCACAGCTCCCATGGGAACGATGCCGTGCCCTTCACGGTACCCCTGTTTCAGCCAGTGAGGGTGCCTGAGCTGAGCTTCTCCAGCTGCACATTTCTCCCATCCCTCATCCCAGGGATTGCGCAAAACCACATCTGGCTCATCTGAACCTTCAGGCTGTTCCAAGGGATGCTGAAGGCCCCAGCCAGAGCACAGGGAGGGGGGCCATGCCTACCCCTTTCCCTGAGGGGACCGGAGCACACAGGACTGCGGTCCCTTCCACTGGACGGCAGTCCCTTCCCGCAGGGGCTCCCGTGCCACGGCCCCTCCGCCCTGCTCTGAGTCACGTCCCTCCCCACCCGGGATGCCACACAGCACACGTCGTGCTCCTTGCTCATCCTCAGCCCCTAAAAATAGAGCTGGTGACTCTTCCCAGCCTGCGCTGACTCACACGGGACTGACGATGATGCCTAGTGGTCCCTGCCCTGTACGGCCCACCTCTGCCAGCCATCTCCAGCAGCAGACCAGAGAGCAGCCTGAGCTATTTCCACTGCAGCATCCAACATTCTCACTTCCAGCCCAGCTTGAAACCAGAGCCCGTGAGCACGACCAAGAAAAGCAATTTTCCTTTGGAGCCGCTGAGCCATCCCATGCCAGGAGCAGCGGGCTGGGCTGGCTGTCACCAGCCATGGCAGCCGCCAGATCCAACCTTCCCTCCTCCCTTTCCCCGCTGCCTCCTGCTCCATCCAGGCTGGTCCTCATCCCTAGAAAAGCCCCTGCAGCCCCCAGACGCTGCCCCCCCAAAAAGCCACACCAGAGGGAAGAGCTGCAGCCTTATCCCCATACCTCAGCACCCCCGCAGCCTTGTCACACCTTGGCTGGCACGTGCCACCAACTGCCTCCATGCTGGGGCATGAAACCCTAAGTGAGACCTACTGGTGTCAAATGCTGTGGGCCAGGCACTGTTGCAGGTCCCTGGCTCCAGGCTGGCCATGCCCAAGGCAGCTCCACAGTAGTAATTAGTATGACAAACTATTATTATTAACATTATTATTATTAGTCATAACAGCCGGGCTCTGGCTAAGCCTGCTGGCACCAGCAGCCAGTAACACCAATGCACAGCTCTGCGTTCAGTGCCAGACCAGGGGGTTGCAAGGAAACACTGTCACAGGTTGCCCCCCAGCATCTCCATGCCCCATCCACCTGCAGACAGAGGAGGAGTCATCCATCCCTTGGGCTGATCTCCCTGCCCAGTCCTGCTCAACCACCCCAGGAAAGATCTGAGCCAAAACCAGATCGAGGAGGTCAACATGGGCTGGGTACCAGCATCTGAGGTAGGACACATGGCTCCGAGTGTCAGAGATGAGGCACTGCCCAGGGCAGCTGCAAGAAACTCACCACTTAGGTAATTAAATTAATTTCACAGCTACTCACTTTTCCCCCCTAGCTCCCCACCCCAGACTAAAATTAGCCAGACAGCACATATGAGTCAGCCTGCAAGAGGTTAAGACCAAAGGGCTGCAAAAATGCCAGCCCCTCCTGCAAAGGTGGGGGCTGAAGCAAGGCAGGAGCCAGGGGTGTGGGGAGGGGGGACAGCATACCTGTGCCACACTGTGGGCATATGTCCAAGGCATTTGGTTCAATACGGGATAAAAGAAATTTAAAAAAAAAAAACTGGGAAGTTTCAGGCAGGGTTTTTTTAGGTTGAAAAAACCTGATCTTGCCTCCTAGTGTTTTCCTGGAAGAGGCTCTGGAGACGGGAAGATGGTGGGATAATAGAAAGGTCATGAGTCACTGGGGGGTGGGCAGTCATTTGGGAATCCTGAATCCAGGCAGGGCTGTGCTCCTGCCAGCAATACCCAGTGCTGCGACTGCACCGGGCCGTTTTAAAGCCTCCTCAGAGGTGGCAGCCAGGCCCCGAGCTCCTGTGCTGCCAGAGCATCCCAAGGACCAGCCCAGCTACAGAGGCTGGGATCTGCTGAGCTGGGTGCTGGTAGGGAAGAGATCCTTGTGGGGTGTGCTGCTGGGTGGAGACAGTGCTAAGCCAAAGCTTTTTTAAGTCAAAGCACCAGTCCCTGCTCAGGATTCAGCCCCCCAAAAACCATCACGTTATCCGAGAGGATGAAGCAGGGCAAGAGGCTGGTGGTGGCCACTCAGCCCAGCCAGAGTGGGGTCACTGGACATACTTTAATGTACCCAAGATGCCATCGCTGAAAAATCAGCTCTGGAAACAGAACATTTTCTTCAAGCAAACACTTTCTCCAATATTACACAATATTCAGGTTTGAATTATGTGTACTTTGAGGAACTCCCAGGGAGAAATACTGACGGCTCCCAGAGCCACAGGAAGCATTGCAAATTTGCCAAGAAGAGACATCCTCTCCCCAAAACCTATCTTGAACACACAGTTCCCCATCCCGGCCCTGAGGGCCCAAAGTTTCATTAGAGAAGAAAGTAAAACCACCCAACAACCGTTAGATAGCAGGCGTCACTCCGGGGAATCGCAGCCACTCCCGAAGCTTCCAACCCCCAGGAGACCAGAGCTTCCAACCACCCAGAGCCCCCAGTGCCTCCTCCGTCAGCACAGCCACTCCTGAACTGACATCCCAGCTCAGCCCCATCCCTGGCATCCCCAGAGAGGTGCAGCCCAGGGATGGGAGTGGTGGGGGGAATTTGGGAAGCCTCCCAGCCAGTGGAGAACACACACCGGCTGCCGGCGCTGTGCCGCTGCCCGGCTGGCTGAGCCAGCAGCACACTGGTGGCCTCTGTGCCTGCTGACCTTTTGTGCTGCACTTTGGTTTATTTTCGCTCCAAACAGCAGCGGCAAAGCCAGAAAGGGAGGGAAGGAGCCCAGAACCGGGCCTGCTGCTCCCAGCCCCCCACCAGGCTGGTCTAAAGCTGGCCAGAGCCTGCCAGCATCCTCTCAGAGTGCCATCAGCTAGGATGCCACGCACCAACAAAGAGCTCTTGACCCTCATAGACAACTGTCACCCAATGTGACAGGCATCCAGGTCCTATTTGGACATCAGAGAATCCAAGCACAACACAAGGCACAGTGTTCTCCTTCTTGAAAGAGAGCAGGACAGGCAAGACTCATGCTCCTACATCCCTAGGGACCAGCGCAAGGGAGGGCTGCTGGCGCAGACAGAACCTGCTTTGAGTCGTGGTCCCAACAGTGGGGATGAGCGGGGAAGAGAGACAGAAAGAAAAGCCCTTCTTACCTTCTTCAGAGACACCTCCTGCCTCCCCTTCTAGCTCTGAGAGATGGAGGGGCAAGGAAGCAATAGGAGAGGGAAGAGGAGGAAGATGAGACATGCAAGACAGAAAGAGAAATCGGAGTTAAGCAGCTTTGCCTTGCTCAGGCAGGGGCACACAGAGGAGAGCCCCACACCTCCCCAGCACTGCACCCCAAACTGGACCCCCAGCCTTGGACACGCCCAGGGTCCACCTGAGCATCCCCAAGATGATGTCCAAAACCCAGGAGGCTGGTTTCAGGTGGGGAAGAAGGAACAGCCCAGCAGGGAGTCACCATGAAGGGCTGCTCTGAGAAGCCCAGCAAGCACCAAAAAAGCATTGGCTCGCCCTTGGGGACAAAGCAGGAAGGGTCACACTGGGTGGGCTCAGCCAAACCATGACCCCCCGGGCTCAGGTTTTGGGGAGGTTACAGTCAGCCCTGAGATGGCCCAGGAAGGGGCCCCAGGTGCTGGGGAGCAGTGAGGTCTGGCTTGGCAGGCTGCTCTGGGACATGTCCCCAGGACAACAGGGCCTTTGTACCCAAAGACAGCTCTCCAGGATGGAGAGGGCTCTGGATGCTGTTCTAGCTGATAGGCTTAGCTCCCAGTGAGCAAACCCTCTCCTGCTATGCTGAGGAAGAGAAGGGATAGAGGGGGTAAGGGAGGGAGGAGTACAGGGCTGGGGAAGAGACAAGACCCCAGTGTTTTCCAGCCTCCACCACCAGAGACCCTGCTGGGCTGAGCCCCCCCAAGGCAGCACCAACATCCCCCCACCCTCACACAGTCCCAGAGTCCCCACAGGAGGTGACAAGGACCCCAGGGCCACCTGGCCCCAAAAGGGAGGCCAGAAGTGCCTTCTCCAGCCAGGGGTACCCTCACAGACTGCCCCCCACAAAATCCACCTGCAGCCCCCGTGCCCACACTCACCTCCCACTGGATGCAGCAGGATCTCAGCTGGGTTGTGGGGTTTCAGCCCCAGTGCTGAAAGCGGGGTCTTGGCCAGGCCAGGGGGAGAACGCACTGTTGGCATGGGGGACACAAGAGCATAAGTGGAGGGGTGGGAAGTGAAGCTTTAGAAAGGCTGGATCTGCCCAGGGGTTCAGAGCCCCCATGACCCATCCCACCCATGGGCTGCCAGGAAGAGGAGATGCCTTTGTATGAAGCGACACCTCAGGGAAGGGCAATGATCCCTCTCTCCATTTGGGAAAGGGCACAGGGTAGGAGGTGCCTGGGAACAAGCAGCCTGCCCTATCGTGGGGCTGGCAGGATGGAGAAAGGGGGCAGTTCCCATCAGGGCAGGCCCAGACCCCATCTCTCAGCATCGTCCCCATTAGGGAATGGTCCCACCAAAGGCAAGAAGCCTCTTTCATTGCCCCTGTGTGAGCAGCCATGCACCCAACCCAGCTCACCCAAACCTTAGCCCCCTCTGCCAATCCCCATGTCTGGCTGAGCTGGGACCAGGCTGTCCCAGAGCAGCTCATCACCCCCATGAAAGGGACAGTCAGATTGCCAAAAATCCTCCCACTCTCCAGACCAGCTTGACGGGCAGGTGAGTATGTTTGCACAGAGCATGTTCCCCAAGGGGTGGCAATGCACACGTGAGGTCTGTACTCCTGTGCCCATACATACATACCAGGAGGAGCTGTATATGTATGTATGGCTATGGTATGGATGCACCAACAGTGCAGGGCAGCAGGGTTACGCGAGCCAACTGCACCTCCTCTCCCCTCCTGCCCCCTGGGTTTGCCCCATCTCCCCGATGCTACATCTCCCCACACCAGGGGAGACCTCTGGGTCTCATCTTCAGCCAGAGGGACCGGAGGGCACGTCCCTCCAGCAGCATTTGAATGTGGCTAACTGGTGGCACAGGCATGGGGCCCACAGCGAGGCCGGGAGGCGGTGGAAGCTCCGGGGGAAAGCCAGACCCTGGCCTCAAGGTCAGGTCCCCCTGGCAGCCTGGGGCTGGAGCAGCAGAGCAGCCGAGCCCCTGGGAAACCGAAAGAGCAGGAGCTTTCCCAGCGGGTGTCTGATTTCCCCAAATCTGGTCAGCTGCAAACCATGATGTCAGATCACGTCTCTGTAGGCTGATGAGCAGCAGGGTCCTCCCCAGACCAGAAACTCCCCCAGGATTGCTGTCTCCCCATGGAGGGGAATTGCTCCTGTATCCCCTCAGGAACCTGCAAGCTACAGGTTCAAACTTCCCAGGCCTCCCTGGCTGGTGTTGGGTAAGAAGCACTGCCTCTGGGCCACGGCCACGGCACAGGCTGTGCCTGTCACCTCTGCAAGTGACTCGTTCCTGAAATGAGCCACTGTCCCACTGCCAAGGAGATGCTTCCCCAGGACCGAGCTCTCTGGCCCCAGGAACAACGGGCCATTTCTGAGCTGCCAAGCGCCCCGGGGATGCTCCCACACTCCAATCACTGCATCCCATGAGACAGGGCTCAAACATCATCAGGTTGCAGAGGAGAAACACCAACAGCACAGGAGGAAACAGCCTGAAGCCCCACAGGCTTGAGCTATGGGGAGCAGGTGGCCCCACTGCGACTAGAACGTGGCATCAGAGGGGGCTGCACCCAGCCCAAGCATCCCCAGCTCTAGAGCACCCCTCAGCATTCAGCCTACAAAAGTGTTTTGGAGGGGGTTGGTAAGTCTGCCGCCTTTTTGATGGGTTTCCCAGGTGACTGGCTGCTCCATTGCCCTGGTCCAGCCTGAGTCGTGCTGTGCCGATGTGAGGCTGCTCATCGGGGTTTGTCACTCAAGCCGGTCACACAAACCCGGTCCACACAAACCCACTGCAAGCGCGCAGTCAGGGATAGTCAGAAAGGAGGGATGCCACACCAGAGGAGCAGAGACAAGCTGCAAGCACAGGGCTGGCTTCTCCCAGACTTTTACCCCTCCTGACCTGAAGACAGCGAGCAAGAAGTGTCACAGCATGCAAGGGTCTGCCCTGAGCCCCCTCCCAGTCTTCAGTCCCTCCTGGCTCCCCCTTCTTGCCTTCTACCACAGCCTTGCTGCCCTTCCTGACATGTCAGTAGGAAAGATGGGGAGGTGCAGGACCAGGACGGGGTAAAAGGATGCTCTTTTGGACCCTGCCTCTCTCCTTATCCCCCATTGGGATCCCATCCAAGAAGCACCCCAGTGAGTGGTGGGTGGGAAAAAGCCAACAGGAGGGTGCCAAGCATGGGATACCGACGGCAGTGGGATGCTGACAGCAGCATGGAGTGATGGGATGAAGAGGAGAGAAGAGGATGGAGAGGAGGAGTGATTAATGTGGCAGTGGGTGTCTGGAGCCTGGAGCTGTCTGACACTTGGCAAATTTCTGGCTCGCCGGGAGCCACCCACCGAGCCCCTCCGCCTCCCGGAGCCGCGGCACTTACAGGGGTTGGAGTAAGGGGTTTGTGGCGAGACAGGGAAGGCTGGGGTGGGGGGAGAAATCTCACCGCCGCCGGAGGGTGGGCTGGTGGGGGAGGAACCCTCCATCTCTTCAAAGGCTTCCTTGTAGCTGTGGAGGTGAGGCTGTGAAGAGCAGGATAAGGGTCAGTCCCTGTGATGGGCACCGACCTCCAGAACACCGTGAGGAGGAAGCAGACGGGGCAAAGGGAAGGTTTTCACCTCCTCCACCACCATGAAAAGCATCATTGAACCTCAGCCCTCCGGGATGCTGTAGATGCTAACCAAGTCTTCTGCCTCCCCAGAGGCATCTTCTCCGTCAGCCACCCCCAAAACCCCAGCACCGCCCCCCAACCCCAGCACACCTCTTTGGGCCTCCCTCCGGGGTTGGCCGCAATGGTGCTGACCACCTCAGGTGAGAGAACAGTGGGGCTGCGGGGCGAGCCGGGCTCCGGCGAGCTCTTCTCATAGTGGCTGTCGCTGGGGGTCCGCTTGCGGGCAGGGACGGCGCTCTCCTCCGGGGGCTTCTCCCAGGACTGCACCCCTGCGGGGCAAGCACAGGATGGGAGATGGGTAAGGAGCTGCCAGCCAAGGTGGGGACCAGAAGGAGATGCCCCAGGGCTGATCTGAGAGCGCTCCCCAGGGCTGTGTACTGCGGAGGGGGGCCCTGCCCAGCAGAGATGGGCACTCACCAGATTCTAACCTCCGGACCAGCACAGCCAGTTTTGAGCTGCAGCAGATATACCCTAAAGCAGTGGCCCGGAGCCAAGCAATAAAGCAAGGAAGAGTGGTGGCTAGTGGCCGGACTGCTGCACTAGCCCTCTGCTCAGGGACAACCACCCCCAGCAGTGGGTGTGAAGGGCACGAGCGCCCTGCCAGCAGCCCAGCAAGCCCAGCCCCGCAGAGCTAGGGAGGATCGGGACGTCCCAACAGCGTCACGGTGAGAAAGGGCCGAATCCCCCAGCACCAGGGCAGCCGCGTTCGGCTGCATCCCTGCTCCCACAGCCGGACACAGCTTCAACCACAGCAGCGGAAAAAGCCTGGTTTTGGGAGTCCCCCAAGGCAGAGAGAGCACCAGGTCAGGAGGAAGGACCCCAACAGGAGGATGATGCAGGGAACCCCAACAAACCATTGCTGAACTCCTACCCCAGCACAAAGCCTTCCTAAAAGGGGAGATCGGTATCTCCTCTTCATCTCGCCCCAAACCTCCATCCCAGACCCCAGCACCACAAGCCACCAATGCCCACAGCCTGGGGGAAGAAGGCAGTGAGCAAGTCACTGTGGGAGAATGGGTTTCTTTCAGCTGGCAGGGTCTGGTAGATCCCACTAGTGATCCCTGTGGACTGGGATAAAGCCCAGGAATAGGGACAAAGCCAGCACAGGGCAGGGGTGTGGAGGTGGATGGGATGAGAGGTGCGACCCCAACTCTCCCAGCAGGACCCAAACATACTCTCTGCCCCATCTCACCTGACAAAGAGGTTAATTAGGGCTTAGGGACGATGGCACGGGGTTTGGTGTAAGGGAACCACACAGAGCATCGCACGTGCAGCTCAGGCCCCCACGAGACTCCTGCTCCTCCCTGGGACCCACACAGCAGTGGGATGACCCCTGGTCTCAATCCCTCTAGCTGAGGTGACAGCACTGTCCATCCCCTCCACCTTTCTCACAGAGCTGGGGAGCACCTTATCCTTGGCCAGCACATTGGGAAAAAAAAAAAAAAAAAGATAAAGAGAAAAAAAAAAAAAAAAAAAAAAAAAAAAAGAGGCCAGCATCACGCTCCAGGAAATGCACTTTTCAAACACCAACTCCTTTCCCACGGGCTGGTGGAGGAAAACCAGCCATCAGCTGCTTCCCCTCGCTCCCTGGGGCTCAACACGGGACTCACGCCTCGCACCCACTGACCTCCCCTCTTCACCCCTCCGGCACCCGCACCAGAGCTGTCCTGGCCCTGGGGTAAGGGCTGGGAGCAGGGAAAGGGCCGGGGGCGCGGGAGGGAAGGAGGTGGCCTGGGTGCATTTCTAAATAATCAGCACAGTGAATGGCAACAACAATAAAATCGCAGCTCGGGGGGGAGAGGTGGCCGGGCTGCGAGGCGGGGGATGCGAGCCAACGGGGCCGGCTCCAGCCGCGGAGGCGGCCTGGAAAATTCCACTAAGAGCAGCTTTGAAACATAACTCCCAATCCCTTCTGCAGGTGCTCGCCGGCGCAGGGGACGCCCATTAAAAAGGCCTGTGGAGGGGACAGGGGGACGGAGAGGGTTCCTGGGAAGCTGCCCTGCAGGCATGGGCAGCATCGTATAGGGCCACCCTATATCTTTTGCCCTGCTTTTCGCTTTAAGGGAATGAAGCCCTGAGCTGTGAGCATAGGGAGAAACAAAATATTGGGGAAAAATAAAGCAAACTCTTATATTTTCTTTTTGTCCTTCCACTTTGTGAACTGTGGGGTGCCCTGCACGCTGCACGAGCATCACCAGGAGCATCCCAAAGTGAGCAACCAAGCCCTGCTGGCTCCTCGAGTCGTGCACGCCTGCATTGCTTTACATTTTCCATTCGGGAAGCATAAACAGCATCTCGGCAGAGCCCGGCTGTCAGTACCCATCCCAGAGCTGCAGCGTGGGACCCCCTGCCCCATCCCCAGGGCTGTGTGACACCCGGCTGAAGGGTGCTGGATCTGGCCCATCGGGACACCCAGGAGCTCACCAGGCTTTGGCTGCTCCACTCCCCAGACATGGAAAGCAGCCGGGGGAACAGGGAGGGGAGGGAGGAGAGGGGAAAAAAAGGGACTCATTGTTCGGGAGCAGAGAGTGGGAAACTTCACGGGCGCCCGGAGCAAAGCCTGGAGGAAACCCAGGCTCTGAGTACAGCTCCCCCGACCCCCTGGGTGATTTATGGGCTGGAAACTACACTTGAAAAACAAACTCTCCTTTCCCTCACTCCCCGTGCCCCCCTCGGCAGGCATACAACCTCCTTTAGCCACAGTACCACCACCGGCCCTCCAAGGATACTCTGCCTGACTGTGCGAGGGGGGGTTCCCTATCTCAAAGGGGGAACAGCAGCCTGCACCCCGCTCCCCACCCTTGCCCTGACTACATCTGCCACTGCCACCCCTTCTGCTTCTCATTTAACTCCCTAACTTAGCAGCAACCGTCCCTCAGCAAAGTCCTGCCCTTGAACTCAGCACAGTTCTAGGGCTGGGGAAAGGCAGGAGCACAACAACCAGAGGAGGAGAAAACAGGAGGGATTTAAACCCAGGTGGTTTTGCGGCTGGGAAGCCATGTTTCTAGGCCAAATCAGGAGGCAGCTGCTTTTTGGGCATGAGATGCTGAAGCTACTGCCAGGCAAGAGCCAGGAAATATCCCCATGGTGAAGAGGGTGAAGCAGCATCCCACAGCCCTCCCGATGTGGCACCCAGCAGTTAAATCCAGGCAAGGACACACAGCAACCAGGAAAAAGAGAGATGCAAACTCACTCCATGCCTGCTCGAGGAACATCAGCGGATGTTGCCCCGTACCACTCTCCACCAGAGCCTATCCCACCCCATTCCACCAGGCACAGACACAGCTACAGCCACAGCTCCCTGCCTCCCAGCCTGATCTCACAAATGGGCACGATAAAAGCCAAGGACTGAAAGGGTTCAAACCTCTTTGGTCCTCCTCGGGAGAAACCCAAGGTGCCAGCAGAGAGAGAAAAGTCACCCAGAAAGCTGGTGACTCCCCAGCCAGCTCTTTGCCCCCAGCCCCTCTCCATCCCCCTCCTCCTGCTTGCCTTCGGACAAACCAAGCACCAGGTGGGTCCCCAGCACCCATTGCCCAGCAGAGACTCACCTCCAAAGAAGCAAAAGTCACGTCACCTAAAATCCAGCCTCCACATCCCCCGGCTGCAGACAGACCCATGGGGATGCCCGAATGGAGGCAGGTGAGACCCTGCCAGGCCAAGAACTGGCTGATGTGAGGGTCTGTGAAGCTGCATCCCAAACCTTGCTTCCCTGCAGGGTGAGCCACAGTCAGGGCAAAGCTTGGAGGGGCTGGAGCGAGGGTCCAGATCTGGCCCAGCAATGAAACCCCACCACAGAGTAGTGCCAGGCTTGGATGAGATGCAAAACCAATTGTGGGTGGGGGAGTCTCTTACCAAGGGTCAGGGGCTCCCCCATCACTGGAGGAGGTTAAGGGGGGTCCTAAGCATTGGTCTGCTGAGAAAGGGGATTGATCCTGCATGGGTAGGGTCTCCCGAGCCTCCCTCCATCCCACACCCATGCAACACACGGAGCACTCAGCATGCAGGGATAGGGGAGGAAGGAGAGAGCAGGAGGGAAAAGGAAGGAAGGATGAGAGGGAAAAATAGAGGGGAGGGAAGAAGAAGGATGGATGGGGAAGGTTGGGGACAAGGAAGGAGGGAGGTGGAATGAACAAACCGGAGAAGGACCGTTGCTGGTTCAGAGGAGGACGGGGGGCTTTGGTGCTCTTGTTGAGGTCCCTGAGCCTGGCGTTGTACTCTGCCAGCGTACCAGGATGGGGAGTGCAGGGAGGGTGGGAAGTCACAGGGGACAGACACAGTCCCCCATGGGGAGAGGAAGGGGCAGACAGGACAAATGTCACAAGATACAATAGGGGGAGAGAGAGAGAGAAAACAAGAGAAAATATTAGTTGGGCTCCAACAGATGAGCCCAGGGTCGCTCAGGGTCCAAGGGAGCTCAGACCCTCCTTGGAGCTGCTTCCCCTTGACACAGATCGCCTGGCTCCAGGCACCACTTAAACCAACATGGGAAATCAGTGACGGCTCCCAGCCACATGTGGCTTTGTGCAGCACCACAAATGTCTCATCACCATCCCCTTGGTGATGGCACCATTCAGGTCCATCCTCAGCATGGGATACCCAGGACTGGGACAAGAAGGGATGACACCAGATGTCTCACTGGGACATGAGTGGTACTTGAAGGATGGCAGGACTGGCTCCTCTCTGCGGGGAGGTGCTGGGGACACCAGTGCTGCCCTCGTCCCATCTCTTCCCCTCCATCATCAGCGGGAAGTGGGAATGGAAGCACTCCCCCCAGCAGGCACGGAGGAGGTGTGAGATGCTCCTCGTCGCTGCGCCAGGACACGCAGGCAATTTATAGCAGCAGGGAATGAATACAAACACATCCACGCCCCACCGTCCCCATCAGACGTCCCCTCCCAGCACTGGCTTCTGGACACCTCGTTCCCGCCGTAGGTCAGGCCACCCGCCTGCGCTGTCCCTGCCTCGGCACAGACGGCCCGGCTCCAGCGGGGACAGGTGGCCGTGGGCTGGGGACCGTCCCCAGGACACCTCTCCTCCCCCAGGAAGCCCAGTGGCCGCAGGGGGGATGAGAGTGACCCCAATCCAGCCTTGAGCACCTGACCCCAGGGTTGGGGGGATGGGTTTTTGGGTAGACCCCAACATCCATTTCCCATCCACTGCAAATACTGTTCCTCCTCTCCTGAGGGCTCTCTTCTTTTCCACCCCATTTTTCCCCCACCACAGTTTGCACCAAGAACACAGATCTGTTCTTTATAATATTCAGTCCAGACACAGAGCATGGTTTGGGTATACACTTGTCCTTGGGTTTGTTTAAACCGTCTGCACGAGCCCTGGGTCCCTCTGTGGATCTGGCCTGAATGACCGAGGTTGGGTTCAGATGGATACAAATTGTCCCCAACACCTATGCCACTCACCCCTGTCTCTCTCCCTGCCATTGGCACCCCTCGTGCCCCCTGATCCAGTGCCACTGTGACTCAGCCTCCACGCCTGGGAGGTTGGTGCTGTTGGATTTTTCCAGCCAAGCCTTTTCCCCCCTCCTTCTAATGCCGGGCGAGTTTCTGGACTGAGCGCAGAGATGGAAGGGACGGAGCTGCCAAGCCCCGGCGTCACGAGCTGGCCCCCAGCCTGGCCGCAGCCCCAAACCCTTCCCAAATGTCGCTCCACAATTCAACAACTGCAACCGAAGCAGCGGGGAGGGAGGGCACCCACCCTGCCGCAGGGCCACGGCACCTCCTTTCCAGGGGGCTGGGACCCTCTGTGTCCCCAGAGCTCCCGAGCCAGAGCCATGGGAGGACAGGGAGTCAGAGGATGTGGTTTCCCCTCTGTGGCACAGAGCAAATGCCTTCATCTAGCCACAGCACCGATGCTCGGCTCTACACCCAGCCAAGCACTGCACCAAACCCCTCTGGCAGGGCTGAGAAATGCCTTTCCAATCCCTGACTCAAGGGACTCAAGGCCAGGTCAAGCTTCAAACCACCTGGGGCCAAGCTGGCTGGGCCACCAGAGCAGAAAAGCTGCTGCCAGTCTGCACCCTGGCCCCTACTCTCCAGCAGCACCCCAGACGCCCAAGGAGGAGGTCCAAGCAACAAGTCCATCACGCCGGGAGGAAAGTGGGGGCTGAAATCAGGGAGGAGCCCAGCTACATTTAACACAAGGCAAGTGCTCCACTGAGACCTTACACCACACTCCAGGCAGGGAAAGTATCATGTCCAAGGCGGGGTCCAGGCTAGACACCCTCAGCCAGAGCTGAAAACATCTTCTCAAACAGGGCCATATTCTCCCTGAAAGGGAGAAATCCTCCCAGGATTGAGTAAGTGGCCCTACTGCAGTGGACAGACCAGTCCCATACCCCAAAGAGGTGAGGATGGGGGGACCCAACGCCCTCTGCCACCCATTTTCCCCACCTCTGGGCAATGCTGCTGCAAACAGCAAGCTGCAAGGATGGGTCTCAGCAAAGGAGGGCGGCACAGGCTGCCCCTCTGCCTGGCGTGCCCCCACGGCGGGTGGCTCTGTCCCAAGCCCAGATCCGGCACAGACGAAGAGTCGCCACATCTCCCATCCCCGGCTCCACCATGCATGCCAGCCCCGCGGGCTCCGCCTTCTCAGGACACACTGGTTCCCCCCATCCCCCCAAGGAATCAAAGTGTCCTACCTGCCACCCTTTGGGCCACCAGGCCCTCCAGATTCAAAGGTTCTTCTGCTGACCTCGACAGGTCTTCATAGCTCTCCGGTCCCTTGGAGGGCATCTGGGTTTGTGTTGGGACGGTGGGGGAAGGCGGGGAGGAGACGAGGAGCTGCTGAGACCCCACAGGACTGTAGGAGGTGCTGAGCGGGAGGATGCTCATCGGTGATCCCGCCGGGGCATGGCTGTAGCTCCTCGGCTCTGGCACCGGTGCTGGCTGGTAGCTGTAGGGCAAATAGGTTTCCCGGTACTCATGCACCCCATAGTCCGGCTCCCCGGGAGAATACGCTTTGCCTCCGGGCTCAGAGACCACAGGGCTCACAGAAGTGCCGAAAGACCTCGGCTGGACCGCTTGTGGAGCTGGCCGGGCATAGAGACCAGCAATGGGCTGGGCCGAGATGGAGGAGAGCAGGGGTCCTGCCGGCTTGTCCTGGCGGGAGGCAGCAGGCACGCTCTGCGACTTGTGGACGGTGGGTGCGAGGTCCAGCATGAGGACATCGAGGGCTTCAATGGACTGCTCGATCTCCCGGCGGGAGGGTGCCCGGGGGAACTCGGGCATACTGTGGCTGTGCGGGGGCACTGGCTGCAGTGGGCTGGGCTGGGGGCTGCAGCTGGAGACGCTGGGGCTGTGGCTCTCCATGCCACCCTCCTGCAGCCGGGAAGGCGGCCGGCTCCCTCCTTGCTGCTGCCAGGAATTCAAGCCCCTCTGCACGGCCTCCCGGCTGCTGGTGCTGCGAGCCGGGGCCTGGGGCAGCGCTGGGTTCGCGTCGTACTTGGCTGTGTCCACCGCCGGGAAGGACCGAGAGCGGTAGGCGCCGGGGGGGTCATAGCCATACAGGTAGGGCTGGGAACTGGGCAGCGGCTGGGGCTGGAGCCAGCCTGGGGCGTGGGAGCCTGGCGGGCGCTGCGGGTAGCCAGCCAGGTTGTCCTGAGTGGATGCCGAGGGCCGCAAAGGAAGCAGCGGGTCGCGGAGGTGGTGGCCCATCAGGGCATTCTGGTTGTTGTAGGGGTAGCCGCCGTTGGAGAGTGGCTCGCCATCATACAGCCCCTCCTTCAGCAGCTTCTCAGCCCCGTTGCAGCTCGATGGGCCGTTGGGCAGGGAGGAGAGGCTGCCCACCCTGGGCGCCTCCTGGTAGCCGGCCTCGCTGGCGGTGGTGGTGCCGTCCAAGGAGGAGAGGGTGCCCAGGCTGCCCACGCTGTGCCCATCCTGGTTGGGCAGCTCATCATCCAAGATATCTGTCTCCCGCTCGGCCACCAGCGCCGCAGCATTCCCATTGACGTGCACCTGAGCCGGCACGACGTGGCGGCCCGGCACGGCGGGCAGGCGCGCCGGCACAGGGCCGGGCACGTGGTTGTGCATGGGCGGCGCGCTCTCCAAGCCGAAGCCAACAAGGAGACGATCCAACTCCCGCTTCTCCTCGGGGCTCAGCACCGCCTGGCCGCCGGGGACCCCGGGCACCCCCGGCTCATCGGTCCGGTCAGTCTTGGTGGAGGCAGTGGAGTTGCCCGAGTCGCTGCTCACCGAGAGCGTGTGCTCAACGTGGTTGGGTGTTGCCGAGAGCGGGAGGCGGGCGGTGTTGATGGCACCGGTGCTGCCGTGGAGGGAGTCTTTCTTCTTCACTTTAGCGTAGAGGCTCCCGTCCAGGGGCCCTTGCGTGTGCCCAACCTCTGCAAGGGGAGAAACGAACACGAGACCCCAGATCAATTGCTGGCTCTCTGCACGGAGCTAATGGGTCCCATTAGCCGGTGGTTTCGATCTCTTCCATGCCGCCGAAACGCTTAATGACCAGCATCGCCGTCTCCTCGGCACCCTCCGCAATCCCACGGGCGCCACCATGCAGAGACACCGGAGCCAGACCGCCCCCCCCCCACCCCCCCATCCTCATGCCCCCATGGCCCCCAGCTCTGCACGCCGTCCTGCCCTGCCCTGCAACCACCACCTGCTCCGCTGGGATTCACCAAATATCCTCCCCCTGGTTCCAGGCATCATTCCTGTCAGTTCCCCTCCGTGGCTGGCAAGGGCCAGGGCTGCCCACACAGTCGGCCATCACCCCTCCACAGGGCTCAGCCAGCCCCAAAGGGCCACGCAGCACCGGGGAGGCAAACGGGGAGGTTGGGGGAGATGCTGTAGGAGGACAGGTGGAGGCGGTCAGGATCTGGCCGTGCAGCTCTACGTGTCTCCAGCTGGATGGATGTACTCAGCCCACAGGTGAAAGACAGATGAACCATGGACCCACCTTCCCTCTCCCTGCCCACTCTCCTCCCAGATGACGGGCTGATCCCACAGATCCAGCCACTCACCCATCCTTGACATTTTCTTCCCTGGCTACAGACAGGCTCCCACCCTTTCTGCCTTTCCCCTTCTCTCTCTCAGGCCAGGTGGATCTGCCCCAGAGCTTTCCTCACAGCTGGACGCTGCCCTGAAGCTCCTGCACTGGCAGTGCCTCTGCCCAACCTCAAACATGCAGCATCTCCTCCCCAGGGAGGCACCGAGTGCCCTGGGACCACAATTCAAGGCTGGTGCGAGCAGCCGGCTCCGCTTCACAGCCCAAAAAGGCTGGGGGGCAGCCAGGGCATGGCAGCATCACCACCAGCAACCTTGCACCCCAGCTCCAAGCTTCTCAGCTCCCACCACCCCCAGCAGCCCCAACACCACAACAAGCTGCACCTTTTAAACCTTTTTAAATGGGGTGGCCAGATTTTGGGAGCACAGAGGGACCTTGGCCACTGAGATGGCAATGGGAATGGCCCCCAAGCCACGTTCTACCCGCCAGAGCGTGCACGGCACCAGCCGGGCTGCAGACTCTTGTTTTTCCAGCTCCCTGCCGAGGTTTCCTGGAAGGGCCCGCGAGCAGTGTTAAACACTTTCTTTTGGAGGAAAAAATGACTCTTCCTTGGCAGGGGGCCAGGCGGCTGACTCAGGGACGGAAGACGGCCCTAACGCGATAGTGTGAAATCAGAGCGCTCCTATCTGTGAGCAAAACACTTCCGAAAGCCAGCCCTGAGCCGGGGACGGCTTAACCAGTCCCACTCTGCCGCACCCGCGCCCCAGCAGCTCCCACAGCTCCCACCCGCCTCACTGTAAAGCAGAGGGGGGCAATAACACCCAGCACGAGTCCTACCGAGTCAGGGCCCCTTCCTCACCGCTCATTTTCCACTCCCGAATCCCCACCAGCAGCATCCCAAGGAGGCAGCCGAGCCATAAAGCCCCCCCTTGGCTTGAAGATGCCCCAGGACCACACAGCAAGGTCCTCTCCAGGCACTCAGTGCAGGAAAGGATAAGGATGGGGGTCCACGATTTCTCTGTGAGACTCAGAGCTCCTTCATCCAGCTAGTATATCCAGAAACCAGCAGAGATTGCCTCTGCAACACCTCCCATACAGGGGAAAAGGGGGAGAGATGGAGGGAATCCCTCCCAGTGGAGGGAGAAAGGAAAAAGCAGCATGTCCAGGGCCAGTGTCTCTAGAGAGGCTGAGACATCGCTTGGAGCCAGGGAAAAGGCCCAGCCCTCCTGTCTGACGGCAGCGATGGGTGCTGGCTGGTCCCAGGAAACAGGGCAAGAGCTACAGTGGGGGCTGGGATAAATAGGGCAGGGGAATAGAAAGGAAAAAGGAATAAATAAATATAAATGAAAGCACGTGGCGCCAAGGGAGAAAATAGCTGAGAAAAGCTTTAATTAGACTGTGGGCTGGACACCACCCCAGGGCTGGGAGAAACGTCTTGAAGCGGGGTCAGGACGGGGAACAATGTGGTTCACAGCAGAGCCAGAAAGCCCCCCAGGTGCCCCATCCCACCTCCCCTGGACCTTCTGGCCAGGCAGGGACATGGAGGGTCTGGTGGCCCCCACCCCAAGAGCAGTACCAAGGTAGCAAAGCACAGAAGGGGCCGTGACACCTCCACCATCAGCCAAGCCCTCATCCCACAGCTGCTCTGCCCCACACCTGATTGCCCATTCTGTCCTCATCCCCACTCATCCCCTTAGGCTCAGATGCCAAGAGCCAAATCCTGCTATTTCCCACCACTCCCAGGCAACCTCCACCATCCCTGCGCCATGCTATCACTGATATGACCACCTTTCACTTGTCACCTGAGAAGTTGAATAAAATCCCCCCAAAAAAGAGGAAGGAAAAAGTGGACATGCTGCTTTAGCCAAAGTAGCAGTACCCAGATCAGCAGGCTCCCAGGTTCCCATTTGCAAAGCGTTTGCAGCTCCCAGCAAGGTCAGATTTCGTCCCTGAAGGTCAGAGCAGCTACAGCGTGGCAGGCTGTGCCATCCCAGCGTGGGTTGGGTTTGCCCAGGGCTCAGCCCTGGACACAGCTCTGCTCCGACTCTCTCTGCTCTGGCTCCATCTGCTCCGGCTGTATCGAGGCGGCTGGGGGAAGCGCTGAGCCCAGCCTGGTCCTACCCCAGCTGCCAGGCTCACTGCCCCAGCGGGGCAACGCGCTCTCCTCTCCCTCCCCAGCACCCTGCGACTATGCCCAGGAGAAAAACTGGTCCAGGGTACACGTTGCAATGGGAAGGGGGATCAGCTCACGTCACCAAAATCCCAGCCATCTGCCTCATGTCTAGTGGGATGCACCATACAGCACTGTGCACCAGCACAAATCCTGGCCGGAGCTCTGCACCAGTGCAGGATAAGTCTGGGGCACCACTGTGCCTTCCCTGGTCCTGCCCCCAGCAGCATCCCACCTGCTGCCTCCGCTCTCCACCACCCAAAGCCCTGGCCCCAGGGCACCTCTGGAGCATCAGCACCCTTTGTAGGATGAAGGATGCGGGCTGAGTCCCATGGGGAAGAGCTCAGTCCCGGAGCTCTGGTTTCATCCTGGGATCAGATATGATGGCAAGAAGTAACCTCAGCCCCCGAGGCGTGGGTCACCACAGCCATGAATTCCTCACCCACCCCCAGCCCTTTCCCCCATCCATCTCAAAGAAAACTGAAGTCAGGACTTACCAAAGGGGACAGGGAAGAAAAGATCCCAGGCGAAGAGGAGTAGTGGGCAGCAAAATCCCTTTCCTTCACCCCTTCCAGCACCACAGCCCTCCAGGGGGACCTGGTGCGGTGGCAGCTCGAAGAGCGTCCGTGGCCAGCTCCGTGTGTCCGTCCAGGACAGGAGCCGACAGCCGGAGCTGGCTTTGGTTGGCGTTTGTCCCTTTGGCTTTGCTTTTCCTCTCGCGGAGGGAGCTACTCCCACCTCAGTGCCGTGTCCCGCGGGGCCAGCGAGAGGGGCACCCCGACGGCAGTGGGGCGCCGGGGGGGCTGGGACACGGGGTACCCCCAGAGCAAGGGGCACCCCCACGGACACAGGGTGCCGGAGGGGAGGATGGAGGAGATGAAGGCGGCAGAGGCAGGAGCTGGGCAGGAGGAGAGGAGGTGCTGTCGTGCTCCCCTCCACCCCGGACCACACAGGGACGAGCGGGAGGGGAAGGGGAGAGGCTGGGGAAGGCGGGTTGGGGGCCGCCCAAGCCGAAGCCCCAGCCCAGGTTAACCCCAGCGAGGTTCGGGGAGGGTGAGAGCCGCGGAGGGAGGACAGCAGGACAGACAGCTCCTAGCTATGAATATTAACTACTTCCTCCACAGGCAGGGCTGTGCTGCATTAACTGTTTCCTAGGCACAACAGACAGACGGACAGCTGGACAGCCAGCCTACCCTCCCCACACCGGGTGCCGAGCATCACCCCACTGGATGACTCCCCCAGTTTGAGACCCCTCAGCCCTGCCTGGCTGCTGTGTGCACACGTCACACCTGTCCCCAAAAAGCAGTGACACATTTGGGGTGGGGATGTCCTTTCAGGACATGCATGATGCTGTGACCCAGCCGGGTCTGCAAACCCCAATGTCTTGCCAGAGACTTGAGTTTCTCCATCTTAAATAAATACGCAGCCAAAGAGGAGTGGAAACCTGCCAAGGTCCAACCCCACCAGCACCAAACCTGACCTGTTTTCACAACCCACTTTCCCTGCCCTGCCAGCTCCGCAGCATGGTGTAGACACACCAGCACCGGTTTCAGGATGGCACGTGCTGTCATGACCTGTAGCAGGAGGCACGACACAAATCCCATCCACCCCAAAGCCGCCTGCAGCCACGCTGCTCCATCCCAGGTAAAATCCGTGATGGGATGGTGCTGACAATTCTCTGGTCCAGGTGACAGCAAGCCCACCCCGTGTCCAGCCCCTGCTTGAACCCCTGCTCGTCTTTGCTCCTCAACTGATCCAACATACTCAGCAAAACGCGAGGCTCCCTCCACTCTAATCCCCCCAAATTGTGTGTTTCCCACACCCCCGTGGATGACGGCAGGGGATGAGAGCAGCGTTTCCAGCCGGCCCCCTGACTCACAGCTCTGTTTGCTCCCAGATAGTGGCACACGCCAAGTCAGCATCCTCCCAAAACCTCCGAGGTTTGCTCGCCTCTCTGCCTTTTTATTTTTTTCCCTGGCTGCACAGCTGCAGGCAGCCCACAGGAGAGCAGGCCAAGAGCTCCCTGCTCCAGCCCAGCCTCCCGGGGACAGCCCCAGCCCCACGAACACACACTCCAGCAGGTTCTAACTTCAAGGACGATTTAAAGGGGGAAGAGAAGGGGCTGAGCATCCACCAGCCAGTCCCTCTCTCCCTGCATCTCAGCCCTGCCTGGTTCCCAGTCCCAGCGGGGCCAAACCCCATCACCTCCCCCCCCATCACAAACCCAAATACCAGGTCAGAGGACAGACCCTGCTCTGGGAGCAGCCGTGCTCCAGCCGAAATGTCTAGCCAAGCCCATAGATACTCCAGTATTTTTCCCGCGGGGAATAACCAGAAGCAAAGAGGACACACTCCCCATCCAGCCCAGTCAGGTCCCCACTGCCCCCCAAAATGCCTGCCCCGCCAAGCCCTTACCTTGCCGTGGCCGGAGCAGAGAGCAGCAGAGAGGGGCGGGATGGGGAGGGGGAAGCGGATTCCTTCTGCTTTAGTCAGCTGGCGAAGGCGAGAGGAGAGCCAGCGGCTCCCCTCCCCGCTGAGCCTGGCCAGGGGACGGATCCAGCCGCGGGGGGAGAGCTCCGGCGATGGATTTAACAGCTCTGGCCTGGCCCATTTGGCTCTCCACCTCTGCACAGCCTGGCTCGCTCTCCTGGGCAGCCTCAGCCCCGGAGAAGCGGGGCAGGATTTGACCTCACTAAGGAAGATGTACCCCACAAGATGCCCACCCTCCTGGGGGACTAGCAGAAAACAGCGACCCTATCTAGGGGCTTGCTGCCCCACTAAAAGGTACAGGATTAGCATTCCAGCTCAATTTAGGGGGCTCTGTGACCCCCCGACCGTTCCACATGGAGTTCAGGCTCTGCTGTGACCTCCCATCCCCAGAGTGGTGGGACGCCCATCCTACTCCCCACCCCGGCCAGCCCTGCCCTGCCCGTGAAGCTGAGCTGCAGGGGAGCCCCACGCCAGAACCATGACTCAGGTGGGGATTTAACAAGTCTCCCGCAGATGTTGGATTTGGCCAGGCCCTGGCCACCCCCCTTCCAGCCCTGGTATAAAAAGAGGGGAGCGGTCAGAGCCAGCCCGCAGTGGGGTCACTGATGGTACAGAGGTGGGAGGCGGGGAGCGGGGGTGGATGCTGGGTGCGGCAGGACCAGGCAGGGTGGGTCCAAGAGCTGGTGGTTACAGGGAGCTGCTGGGCTGGGGACACACGCCTGGCCCTTTCGCATTGTCTCACACTGCCCTAGGATAGCAGAGCCTGGTGTCCTGGCACAACGGTCACATCTCCAGACCCTGGGGACAGCCCCTCCACCAGCTCCTTGCCAGCCCCAGCACCCTGTTGTCCATCAGCACCGGTTTTCTCAGCAAAACCAAACCAGGCCATAAATGTTCCCCATCCAGATTTGCCCACCTGCCTCTGTGGCACCCCAGAAATTTCTCTGTGGCGATCCTCCAACCAGCTGCAAACCCAGCAGTGCCGTACCCAGCCACAGGTCTCCTCCTGCCTCCCTGGAGCCAGCCTGGCCCCCCCGGGAGAGCCACCATCGTTCTGGCAAAGCAACCTTCACCCACCCTGGATAAAGAACATCTGAACCTCCAAAATAGCCAAAGGAAGAAGAGCCCCACCACCACCCTTCAGCCTTCAAACACCTTCTGAGCCAACCGACAGCTATGAGGACTTCAGCAGGAACCTGCCACGCAGCCGGCACCAACCCAAAAGCCCCTTAGAGGATGAGGAAGGAGGGCAGGCAGAGCCGCTTGCCTCCCTCATGCCATGCAGAGATGGATGACAGGCAACGGGATGGGGCTGTGGGGTTATCCCAGTGCACCCCACTCTCACTAAGGACCACAGGGCAGCCCGAGCCTGGTGAGCAGCAGGGACACTGCCTGGGTAAGGCAGGAGGGTGAGCTCCCTGACAGGGCCAGCCTGTGTTTTGCTCCAGCTGGGTCCCCTCAGCCAGAGAGCAAGATGTGGGGGTTCAGATCCCCCTTTCACGCCCTCTGCCCTGGGCAAGCTTGGTTAGCCAGCAATCCTACTGCGACTCAGTTTCCCCTTCCCCAAGCCCCCATGGATAAGCACAGCGGAGGCAGGGGAAACACCAGAACAGGCACCATCTCCAACCATCCACCTCCCCATCCAGCTTTGGGGTCCCACAGGGTCACCCTACCCTGTCAGGCACACCCCCCCCCCCCCCCCCAGGCCAGAAGGGTGCCTCATGCTGAGGCAAAGCTGCCAGAGAAAGGGCATCCACCTCCACCGAGAGCGGCTGCGGCTGACAGAGACGCGGCGCGGCGGGGACCCACCGTTGGGCAGGCGATCCCGATCCCGTCGGCCCGGTCCGTGGGTGCCAGTCTGCGGGGAGCCTTTGCCGAGCGGCGGGGACGGGCAGTGGCAGGGACAAGGAGCAGCGGCTGATCCCACCCCGCCGTGGGTCCTGGTGCCAGCCTCACCCCCCTCCGCCCCCAGCCGCTGCTCACTCGCGCCCGGTGGTGCCAAAAATGTGGCGTGCAATTCCCTGACCAAATAAGGCGAGAACAACCATAAACAGGGACCCCCTTCATACAGCCGGGCACGGGGGTCCCCATCCCACCCTGGGATGGGTTGGAGAAGAGGAAAAGTGCCGACAGAGAGAGGAAGATGGGAGCACCCCGAGCCCCCCCCCCCGGCAGTCCTGGCTTATCCCCAAACTGGGGCAGTGTTTGCAAATCCAAGGTGCCCTCATTCCGCGTCACCCTCCCTGCAGGGAGGACAGCCCAGTCAGCACACGGAGGGAGCTCTGCAGCCCCAACACCCATTGAGACCCCCAAGAGGGGACGGAGAGGAGCCCTGGGGTACCTCTGCAGCCCTGCGAGGGGCTGGGAGTGCAGCAGCTCTGCCCCCGGGGCCAGAGGGGAACACACATGCACCGAGGCACTCGGGTCTCTGCAGGCAGGAGGGGGCTGCCAGCCAGTCCTGTCAGCTCGGGGCGGGGGCAGAGCCATGGTCTGAGCTCATGGTGAGGACACACATCCCCTCCCTTTAGGGCCGGACCCACAGCTCCCCAGCTCCCTGCCGCATAGCTGAGCCCGCACGTCACGAGTTGCCTGTTTACTGCCCCGTGCCAAGGCAGGTGCCCGTGCCAGCTCCGTGCAGCCACTCCAGGTCCCGGCCCCATGTCCCCAACATGGGCAAGAGACCCCCTCGTCCACCCCAGGCACCCAGAGCCCCCAGCCTCTGCAGCGAGCCCGGCTGCCCACAGCTCCCACTCGGAGCAGACGGTGACCTTCAGGGACATGGGGGACTGCAGCTGTCCCCAGCCTGGGGACGTCTGTCTGTACTGGGCCAGGAAAGCTCAGGCATCTGCTCAGCCACAGGTGGCCTCGCCGCTGGGACAGGGGCCACCACCCTTCCACATAAAAGTACAGCCTGTTCCTGCCAAGCGGGCGAGGGCGGCCGACTCACGGCAGCCAAATGGGTGCTCAAGGGGCTTTTCACATCTCTGAGAGATGGTGCGGACCCTCCAGGGCCAGTGAGGCATCCTCATCCTCCCAGGGGAAACTGAGGCACGGCTACGTCCCATCATGCTTGTGCAGTGAGGAAGGAGCTGAAAGACCTAATGGTCCCCCTGTTAGGTCTCACTCCGGAAAGATCTGGGGTTTGGGTTTCCCAAAGCTCTGGGGCGTAAACCGGGGCTGGACACCGCTCCATGCAAACGGGGCTTTGAGAGCAAAAGCACCAAAAAAGAGCCTGAGCTCCCTGGCACCGCAGCAGGGGGAGAAAGTCCATGAGATCTTCCTCTCCCATCCCATGGCCATGCTTCTCCCAGCAGTGGCCGCCTGCCACCAGCTCTGCTGCCCACCAGCATCCCCTTCCCTGGGGTGCAGGGAGTTCCCATGGGGACATTTTGGCCACCAGCCACCCCATGAGCCCTAACCTTTCTCCAGGTGCTTGCTGGGCAGGGGTGGCTCAGCCCAGGTGCCCGCTGTGCTGTCCTCACGCTGGATGTTGAAGTTCTCATAGGAGTCCCACCGGATGAGTGGGTCAGATGTGTTGTAGTCCACGGAAACGCTGGGCCCGTTCTCCAGGTGCTCCATGCCTGGGAAGATGTGGGATGGTCAGTTGGGGTGATGATGGAGCCAACACGGGTGGGGACAAGGGGAGGAAATGGAGAGAAGGTGCAGGCAAGGGAAAAGGCAGGAGCCATAGGGCAAGGCAGGCGAGTCATGTAGGAACAGGGACACCAAGGGAGACGAATGGGCATGGGATGTACAACAAGGCCCACAGACAAGGTGTACATGGCTGACTGGGGCTTTTGGGATTGCCTAGGGACAGGCAGACAGACTGACAGCGAGTGTGCCTAGGTCTGGACTTTTTGGGCAAGGGGTCCTTCATTCCCAAACACGTCATCTCTCTCTCCTGGACCAGCAAGCCCTGCAGAACAGACTGGGGGTGATAGGGCATCCATGGGTGCTCCGAGGTCAGCAACACTGCCTGTACCCCTCATCCCACCCTGGTGACAAAGGAACTGCAAACGGGGCAGGGGGAGGTCACAAGGGAGGCAGCAGGGGTTAGAGCTGGGAAGCAGGAAAGGAGCCAGCGTGCAGCTCCAAATCCCTGCGGCAGTGAGCCAGCCATACCTTGTATCTTCTCGGGGCCATAGGAGAACACAAACTCCACCTTCCCGTACTCGGGGAAGCGGTCATCTGGTAGGGAGAGAGCAGAGCAAAAGGACCATCTCCAGCCATCCCTCCAACAGCACCCAGACAGCCACCCCGAACACACCCGCAGGCCAGCTCAAGGCCAGGATCTGGTAGGGGATATCCCAGCACAGGGGAGCGCATCTCACCCTCAAAACAACCCCAGGGCAGCTCCTCCACATCAGTACTGGTTTTGGCAATGAAGGTGATGACAGTGCCACCAGTCCCCGAGCGGCACCACACCCTGCGGATGGAGCAGGGGTGCCCTGCTTCATCAAGGGTGGATTTGGGGTGGGTGCCCAGATGTCCCTGCATTGGGAGCAGCGTCACAGGGGGGAGGAGGAGGAGGCAGTCTGAAGTGGGGACGTGCCGGGGTGGTTACCTCTGAAGGCCTCATCCAGGTCCTCCTTGCCAAAGACAACATCAAGGTCGTGCACAGCGCACGTGTGGAACTGCACGCGGAAAATCACGTCACGGGTCGGGCTGCGAAACTTCTTGTGGTAACACTTCAGCTGCAGAGGGGAGTGGGGACAACAGGAGATCAGAACGAGCCGCTGGGGCTGGGCAGGGGGGATCCCGGGGGTCCCGAGGCACAAGGACCACCCGTCCCCCCCGCTGGTCCCCACACTGGGGGGTGAGTTGAGGCTCCTTACCAAGATATCGCCCTTGAGGAGCAAGCCAGGCTCGATGGTGATGCAGATGCCCGTCTGGCTGTCTCCCTGCACATTGCTGCAGAGAGGGACGGTGGGGGGATGTGAGCTGCAGTGCGGAGCCCCCCCCAGAGCTTCCAGCACCACCTCAACCTGCCTCTTTCACCCAAACCCAGCCAGAAAAGGTGCAAAGCACAGAGCTGACCCTCTCGGTGACAGAGGAAGGTCCCATCCCCCCACCTCAAGGGGCACCCATTCCCAGGGAGAGGACATGAAAGGGAAACAGAGGCACAGCTCAATGAGGGTGCTAAAAATCCTGGGTGGGAGGGTTTGACCAGAGTCCAAGTGCTGGGGCTGGGCTATCAGCCACCCGCCTGGCTCCCACGGGTTGAGCAGGGCATGGGACATGGAGGGAGAGCTCTCAGGGAAGGCTCTCCTCTCTGCCTCAGTTTCCCTGCCGGAATCCCTTCCCTCCCCGGGGCGCCGAGGGGCTGGCTCCGGGCGGTGGCGTCGGCAGCGGGGGATGAGGGAAGAAGGGAGTTGGATTTCACAGGCAAGATAAACCTGGAGTTTATTACTGGCATCCCATAAACAGTCTATTAAAAGCTGAAAGGCAAGGCTGGGATGGCAGTAAATCTCAGCTAACGGGGACGCCCAGCTGTGGGTAAGAGAGATCATAGTTCAGGGGGGCAAGATGGGAATACCCCCGAGGCGAGGGGCTCTTCTCCCTCCAGGGGGGCCAGGAGTCAGGGGTCCCAGGCCGGGATGTGGCCCCAGCAAAACATCTGGGCAGCTGGAGAAATTGGTTCCTGCTTTGCCTTCACCAGCGCCTGCTCCCAGAGGCAGCACTGGAAAATGATGTCGGGGTAAATCATGGAGAGATTAAAACACGGGGAAACTCTGTTTTGGGGGAAAGAAAGAGGGCTTTTAGGACTAATCTGAGCAGAAGGAGCAGTTTTTGAGTCAGGGAGAGGAGAAACACCTCCATTTCCCAGGGAGATGTCCTGCTCCCTCCAGGGACACCCAGCCCCAGGCTCTGCACAGCCCCGGGCTCCCTCTGCTGATACGCAGAGTCACTACAGACCTCCCAGCAGAAGGACCCAGTATGGCCCAGTGTAGCCAGTTACCATCTCCAATCAAAAGGAAGCCCCTTTTTTTCAGTTCCCTGGACCCCAAATCGACTAAGCACAGGGCACCAGACTGCTGGGAACTTGGCCATGACCCTCTCTCTCCACCTCCCCCAGCTTGCCAAGCCCCCTGCACTGGGGAAAAGAGAAGCCCCACGGCGAGGAGATAGTTACTAGATCCCGGAGGTGTAGACGGGCTGCATGGCCTGGTAGATTTTCAGGAAGGGCCGACAACCTGGAAGACATCAAGGCGGGGAGAGAAGGCACGCTGCTGTTAGCCGGCAGGGCGGAGGGGCTGGGTCAGGGATTAGTCACGGGGGAGAAATCCAAACAGGGAGGGAGCCAAGGCAAACAGCCGCTCCCCACGCCGGCCAGCCCACACCGGCCATGGGCAACATCTGGGATAGGCAGAAAGGGATGCTCCAGAGGGGGTGAGAAAGCGGGGAAGCCCCTATAGCCCAATTTGGGTCCTGTAGGACCTGGGGCAAGCACTGGACTGGGGATGGAGGTAGGATGATGGGGATGATGGTCTCTGAGAGAGGGACCGGTTCTGCGTACCAGCGCTAGGCATGGTGCTACATCCCAAACCCCAACCCCAGTCTGGTGCCATCCTCCAAAAAGCCATCAGAAAAGCCTTGTCACCCTGCAGCTCGGGTTAGTGCCCAGCCCCAGGAGCCCTGCACAGGCTGGGTACCCCCAAAAGGCACCTTTGCAGGAAAAGGGTAGCACCCTCCTACACTGAACAGTCACAGAGAGGGAACAGGACTTAAGAAGGAAAAGAAAATTCAAATCGCTGAGGAAATCGTGGAAAATATCCCCCAGGGACAGCAAAGCCAACCAGGCAGCGTGGGGCAGTGGTGTGTGCATGGGGGCTGGGCTGTGAGGAGACGTGGGGGGCACCTACCGCCTTTCGACTCGAAGTTGGGGATGCCGTGCATGATGACGTGGTGGAGGAAGAGGGGCTTGTTGTTCATCTTGATGCTGCCAGACAGGAGCCCGCTGAAGTAATGGATGTACCTAGAGGGGGGACAGGCAGCTCAGGGGCAGGACCCACAGCGGAGCACCCGCCTCGGCCCAACTACCCTGGCCACATGGGCAAAACACATGCCAGGACCCACCTCTTCTGGGATGGCTGTCCCACTGGCACTACTTTGTCCTCATAGAAGCGCTTCATGGCAAACCTGTCCAGAGCTTGGTTGGCGCTGCAGGGACAAAAGGGTAGATGAGGTTGAAGGAAATTATTGGCATCAGCACCCCGGCACTGCTGGGATGGAAGTCAGCGGTGGGTTCCGGGGCCACCCCAGGACTGCGTGTCCCTCTCACCTGGCTGAGATGTTGCTGTAGTGCATGTAGGCAGCCACCACCACCCCCAGCCGGCCGCGGTTCCCCTGTGGGCACACAGCAGAAGGGGTGTCACAGGGGCGGTGGTGCCTGCGAGCACCCAGGCACGGCCACCCCACACGTGGGCACACACACACACACACCCCGGTCCCTACACACGTGCATCAACCCACTTGCGCACCCCAACCCTTATAGACACACACCGGTGCACGCGTATGCCAGCACCTCCAGACCCCTAAGCCACAAGCCACCGCATTCCCTGCACCCCTCAGCCTCTGAGGCTGCCGAGCCCCATCCCTGCAGCACCCCAAACCACACCCCCCCCCCGACCCCCATCACTGTGTGACCCCGGGGACAGGGTCCAGCCCACCTTGTTGTGCAGCACCACCACGTTGTGTGCTGCCGCGTTGAGCCACGTGTCCATGGCTTTGCAAATGCTGCAGATTTTCTCCAGGGCCGGGGTGTGCAGGTCGGGCCACCCAAAGTCCAGCACCTGGGTGGTGGAGGGGATATCCAGGGGTCACAACCACGCCGGGCTCTGCCCTCTCCGCAGTCCCCAGCTTGTCAGTGTGCAAAGCCCAGGGCACGTACCCAGGGGGGCACCCCCGCCTTGCCCTGTCGTGCCCCTCCCAGTCTCGCCACCAACCCTGCACCCCACTGCCCAGACCCCTGCCCTGGGTGGGGCCGTCAGAGTCCCAAATCTCAGCCCCTCTCTGGGTCACTCGGCTCAGCTGCCCAGGGTTCCCCCACCTTCACGGGGATGGGGACGATGCCTTAGGGAGGTCTCCAAGAGGCCCCAACAGCCAGGTTTGGAGTACAGACAGTGCGGGGCGGGGGTTAAGCTGAGATCCCACAAAGTCATTGGGAAGTCCCAGTGCTTTCCCTCCCCTGCTCCTCCACCAGCCAGGCAGGATAGAAAGGGTGGTTGCTCCTCCTCAAAACAGCTTGCAGAGGGGAGCTGGTCCCACAGACAGCCCTGCCCCAAGCCTCTCTGTTCCCCACGGCTGTGACCCACCTTGGGGTGAAGCTTGCTGATGTCATGTCTCCGCTCAGAGAGGTTGAAAAGCTTCAGAGAAGAGGAAAAACAGTGAGGGGACATCTTCTTCCCTTGCTGCCACCCCCACCTCTTCCTCACTTCAAAGTCTTCTCAAATGCCCCCTTGAGAAGCTTCCCCAAACACATCCACTTGAGTAATGCCTTGCTACGGGGCAACACAGTGGCCAAAATCTCCCAGAGGGTCCAAAAGGGACTGGAAAGCTTCCAGGAAGGAAAAAATCCATCCATCTTGGTGCAAAGAGCCCCCTCACCAAAGTGAAGCTCAGCTAGAGGCAAGAATGCAGCACCCATCCCCTGCAGCACCCCAGCCCCTTCCCCAGCCTGGAAGGGACCCAGCCGTGTCCCTCACCACGTAGTTGTCCCCATGCTTGGACTTCAGCATGTGGGCCACCTCGCGGAGGTTGCTGCAGAAGCTCTGCTCCTCGGCTGCACTGAGGTAGGAGACGGCGATGATCCGCTCCGTGATGTACACCAGGTCCAACTCACAGCTGCTCTCCATGGCTGCAGTCAGGCTCATGCTCCTGGGTGAGGAAGGGGACCACTGTCAGGACACGGCATGGGGAGGGGACGAAGTGACCCTTCCCCACCCTGCATGGCTCCTGGGGTTCAGCGAGATGGGCCGGGACATGTTGGGACGCAGTGGCAGGGCTGCCTGCAGGCTTTCCCCCGCTCCCAGCCCCGTTGGGGTGTCTTGGGGACCCCAAGATGGGGTTGGTGAGTCATAACCCCCATGTCTTCTCCATGGGGAGCATCTTCCAGCTGTAGCACATCTGGAGAAGCAAAGTGTTGGCAGGGAAGGAAGTTGAGGCAGGGCAGAGGTGGTCACCAGAAGGGGAAACTGAGGCATCTACCTGGATGTTTTGTGGCGTGACTGCCCGCTCCTGGGGGATTTTGTGGCATCCTAAAGAACCAGAGAGGAAAATCAAGTTACTGCCTAATCCAGCCTGCAGCCAGCACAGGGGTTCTGCTAGAGCCAGGTGTGATAGTGCTGCCAGAGCATCCCACCCCCCACCACACTGCACTGAGCACCATAACACGCCCAAAATATCGCTGTCTCCAAATCCCACCCTCTAAGCATCGTGGTGGCACCAAACACCTTGATGGCACCATTGTCCCCCCACCACGGTCACGAGCAAAACCCAGCTCTTGCAACCCCAGCACAGCTGAGACCAGCCACCACAAGCACTGCAAGACCGGTGCCTTGGCACAGGGACCCCGAGGACCTTCAGGAGGATGCTGTGGGTGGACAGACAGTCTCAGGTATGTCACAAATCCATCCAGTCTCAGCCAGGCTCTGGGCACACACCTGGCAGGACAGAGCAGCTCTGGCCCTGCCCGGAGCAGGGGCAGGTTCGCTGTCCGAGCAGCGGCGAGCAGCCAGCCAGGCACAACAGTTTGCTTTGGCCCCTGCTCTGCAGAGCCAAACGCCGGGAGGAAATGTTTGAGCTCTCAGAGCAGGAAACTTCTATTTATGCATGTTCTCCGGCCTCAAGAATTTCATTTGCAGCCGGTTTGCTTGGTGACTTCGTGACCTCAGCCGAAAAACAAAGCAGGGTTTCCAAAAAAAACCACTGAGGAAAAACACACTCACACCTCATTAGTTTTAGTATCTCCAGCTAATAAGCAGGAGTCATTTAAAGACTCATCTCGCGCAGGCAGCACGTCCTGAGCCCCTGGAAGGATCCAGAAACAAGAGATATGCCCTGCAGCCGGATTCCAGGATGCCCCTTTTGTCTCCGGAGCTGCAGGACCTGCTGCCACCCTCCTTGGGGCTGTGAGATCCTGCAACCAGCACACTAGAGGTGACAGGACGAGGTGGAAGAGATGTCCCCGCCACCCTTCGCCCACCATCTCCCACCCAGCACAGTCCCAGGGCTGTTCCCGTGGGCATCTGGCATCACCCTCCATTGGCCATGCGTCCCCCTTTCAAGGTCAGGCTGCCCAGTGGAGCAGAGCCAGGCTCGGTAGCCCGCGGGACCTGTGGATAAACGTCTCCTCTCCCAGTCAAAGCTGCTCCAGAAGGCAGCAGCCCCATCCAGGTGCCTTGGGGTGTGTGGGGAGCAGTGACAATCCCCACCCAGGCTGTCCCCAGGGTGTCCCAAATTTCCTGCTCACCCCTGAAACCCCCCAGCATCACTGGGGGCAAAGGAGGAGTTAAAATGCAGCAAAAAGAGAGGAGAAACCTTTCCTGAGCAGAGCCAGGGTGTGTGGAGCAAGCTTGAACCTGAGCATGGGCTCATCCCAGTGTCAGCCAGAGGTGACTGGGATGGGATCCCCACTGCAGGCTCTGCTCTGCCCCAAACCTTCATAGTGGGAGACGTCTGGGGTCCCCCACCCACACCCGCCAGCCAGGGAAGCCCCATCAGCCCCTGTCACCACACCCAGCCGCAGCAGCCTCCCAAACCACAGCCTTCCCCACAAAGGAGCTGACATGAAGCAACCGGGACTCGCCCCGCTCTCCCGCATGGGGAAACTGAGGCACAGAAGGGTAAGTGAGGCAGGGACACCAGAGCCCCTCTCCATACCTTGACAGTGGCAAGACCCTTGCTAATCCATTTCCATGGCATGATGGCTCTGCTCCCAGCACCCTCCCAGCCCGGGGGAGCGGGTGCCTGTGGCCAGGGCTCTCCAGCGTTCCCCACCCCGGCAGGAGCCCCCCAGCTCTGCCCCACTCCCCCCCCAATCTAACCACAGCCGTGCCGCCGTCTCCGCCGCCAGCCCCTGCACAAGGAAGAGTCAGCCCACGATCAGCTGATAGGAGCAGGCACTCGTGTTATTAAACACTCCTGCCTGTCGGCGGGCTAGGAAACCCTGCAAAGGTCCCCTCTGGAGCGGAGACACCCCTTCCAGTATGTCCCAGTCCAGCCTAGCACAGGCTAGGCTAGTCTCAGCCACATTGGGTTGAAGTCCCCCCTGCCAGCCCCATCGAGCATCCACCTCCCAGCCCCAGACTGGCTCGGCATAACCCCAGGCTCTAAGCAGCATCCAAAACCTGCAGGTCCCTTCTGCTTGGAAAGGGTGAAGCAAGGCACGAGAAAGGCTGCAGAAACACCAGGAGACTTCTCCAAAAGAGCACAAAGCCAGCAAAGGGTGCTCCTGACTCTCCTCCTGGACTTTTCTAGCTGCGGATGCTCTTTCTCCGGTTCGGGGAGGGATTGGAAACGTGTCCTGGACAACCAAAGGGATGGGGCAAAGCCGATTCCCAGGTGAGGAAGGCCCTCTTCCTCATGGGAACCACTCTGCCTTCATCCCTTGGGTCCCAGCCCCAGCACGCAGGGAGGCCGGCGAGCTGGCTGCAGGCGGGGGGAAGCCGTCCACGTTGACTTTGGCAGTGCGTTTGTCTACACTGTCTTAGCAATTTCATGTCCACAGATTAAATAACATATCCCCGGCTCCGAGACAGGAAAGCCGGCTTTGCAGCAAAAGCCCCGGCCCCCTCCTCTGCTGGGTTCTGCCATCGCCTCTGCCACTGAGCCCGGGCACCTCGCTTAGCCTTTGGCACGGCCACCAACACCTCGGCTGGCAGGGAGGGCAGGCTGGGGGGTCACAGGGATGTTGAGGGACCACGGGGGCATGCCAGGCTGAGGGATTTTGGCTGCGGGGGTTGCTTGCAGCAATGGGACAGGCACAACTCACCCCCCAGGAGATCGGGAGGCAGAGAGCAGCCTCCACAACTGGTAGCACTTACCAGGGCGTCTACCTGATTCGTGATGCTTTCCCCCGGGGATGGCTGCAGGCAGGCAGGCAGGAGGAAGGAGAGGGTGAGAAAAAGGCAAGCAAGAGAGAAGGACAGAGAGATTGAGAGACACACACACACACAGAGCAGGGGCTGGGGTCAAAAGTTCCCCCTGGCTATTTCTGGCCCTTCCTAGGAAATGTGCCGTGGTCCCGTTTCCTTCCCTGCCCGACAACATGTCCGCTCTTCCTAAAGGTCGGGAATCCCTCGAAACCCAAGCGTGGAGCCGGGGGGATGCCCAGGTACCAAGGGCACTGCCGTCCTGCCTCCTGGCAGCTGCCCCCCACACTAGATTGCTGTCACGGATGGAGAGCACCCAGCTGAACCCTGCGCCCACCCCACGGCAGGCACCCGGTGCCCCCCACACCTCCGGGATCCCAGCCGGATCCTCCCTCCATGGTCAGACCCCAGAGCCAGGAGGTAAACAACAGGGTGAGCCCAGCATGGCCCCGCACCCAGCCTGGCTGCCAGCCACCAGCCGGCCCAGCTCCCCAAGATAAACCCGGCCCCACGGGGCTGGCGAAGGACCCCAGTGGGAGCAGAGCGGGGATCCAAGATGCTTAAAAAAGGGGCAAATCTGGTGACATGCCACTGGAGTCCATAGAGAGCTTTGAAATGGGGCTGGGGACAGGAATTAAATTCCCAGGGTAGGGGAGAGCGTTCAGACCCCGAATATAGGGAGTGGGCAACAGATAGGTCTGCTTGGGAACGGCTGGTTGGGGTGCCTGGGGGTGGCGCAGCAAAGGGACCCTGTTGGGTGGCTTATGGGGGTCTTGGGACCAGGGGGACAGAGGGGACCCTCGAGACCAGGCTGCTCCGGTCCTGGCAGCAAGGCCATTTCCAGCCACAGGACAGGGCAAACCTCTTTCGATTTCCTCCTGAAGCCGCAGTAACGGTCCCAGCTTGAAGTGAACATGTTTTTGCTGGTGATAAGTGCCTGAAGAGGCTGGTAGGGGTGGGGGGGTGCAGGCAGAGATTAAACCCGGGGCAGATAACCACCGTGGGGCCCCGGGGCAGGCAACGCGCTCTGCTGCCACCCCATCCCATCACTCGCTTGGGCTCATGTGCTGCCCTCATGAGCTCGCAGGGGGCCACCCCCGAAACCCAAAATTTTGGGTGAGACCCCTGCCTGGCTACAGGTTGCCCATCCCAGGGCCCTGCGTGGGGCACGGCCACCCCGGCAGTGCCGGGCTGCCGAGCCTGCAGCTGAAACCCTGCCAGGGCCTCCTCTCCCCGGCGCCTGCCCCAGCAAGCCTTGGCACACGTCCGGAGCAAGAAGGAAGGGCAGCCGCACCAGTCCTGGGCAATGCCAACCTCCCTGCCACCACGTGCCCGCTCTGCCTGACACCATGGGCACGGCGGGGCTGGGGACAGGGCAGGGGGGGCTGCTCTGCCGGCAAGAGACTGCTTGGTGGGCACTGCCGTGCCACGCTTCCCAAAGCATCGTCCTGTTCCTGGAGCCATCCCGGTGCCCAGCCATCCCCAGAGCCCTGCCGTGGCCCGGAGCAGCGTGGCAAGGAGCACAGCCGCCCACCCAGTGCCCCCCGCACCCATCCTCCCCAGGACAGGGTGAACGGAGATGGGGCGCCCAGATGTTTTCCTGGTGTCCAGAGAGGACAGGGTGGGAAGGGCTGTGCATCGCCCTGACCCCAGCTGCTAATTAAAGGTCCCCAGGAGGGACAAAAGAAGGGGGTGACAATAACAAGTGCTGCAAACACACGGCCTTGGGCGCCCTGAGCCAAAGGCACATCTGCTAGAGCCATCTCCGGGCATGTAAGAAACAGTCCCGGCTCTGGCCAGGGAGGGGGACCCCAGAGCTCAGGCTGGTCACGTCCCATTTGTCTGTCCTTCCCATCAACCCTGCAAGCCCCTCTTCCCCAAAAGCTCCAGCTCCAGGAGTCCCGTGATGTCTGGGCTGCCCCAACTCATGCCGCTCAGACGTGGAACACGCTGTAGATATTGCTCCAATGCTGGAGGGCATAGCACCAAAATGGAGGTGTGCCGTCACCCTCAGCACAGGACCCCCGTGGTTTTGGGGGTGGGGAACTCACAACCTGAAGCCCCCAAGCAAAGAAAGTCCCACGCCCAGTGCAGAACAGTGTGTCCGGTGCCACCCAGCATCCCCAGAGCCCTGCCTGCCACCCACGGCTCATGGTGGGGGCTCACTTACCAGCTCATAGTTGACAGCAGGGGAGCAGGGGGTCACAGCCTGCAAGGAAGCAGAAGAGGGCCGGGATTAGTCCCTGCAGCCCCCAGCCCAGCATGGGGCACGGAAAGGGGCCAGGCTGCATCATCCATCCCCCCACCTCGAGCAAACCCAGCGCCCACCCAAGGGGGTGATGGGCACCCATGGCCCACGGCCCTGCCACCCCAGGCAGGAGTGCCGGCGGGGTCCCAAGGTCAAGGCTGGGCTCCCTGGTAACGAAGGCAAGCTCAGGGCCACGGCGGCTGTGCCATTCGTCCTCGGCCAGGGAGCGCGGGCAGCCCCAGCCCCGGGTGGGCACGGCGGGGCACGGCACGGCGCGGAGCAGCTGCCTGATGCCAAGAGCAGCTCCTGGAACAAACCCCAGCCCGGCCTCGTGAGCGCTCCTACAGCTGCCAGCTGAACAGCCCAGCTATTGTTACCTTAATTACCAGCGGCAATTACTGACAATTAACCTTGGGTTTTGCGTGCACCCCAGTCCACCGGGAAGCAGCAGCACGCCAGGGTGGGAGAGGCAGCACCTTGTTTGTTGGTGCTGGGGCAGCAGGAACAGAGGCTCCAGCCCCACGTTGGTCTGGAGATGCCAGCAGTAGTGGCGGGGTGAGGCTCGGGGCACTTTGTCCCTCCCAAACCCCCCCATGTGTCCCCAGGAGCAGTGACCCCCAACCAGCCATCCCCTGCCCTGTCCCAGGTTCAAGCCAACATGCCAAACACCACTCAGGAGCCAGCACCCCAGCATGGCAGCACGGGGACCCCCCGCACCCCACTCAGCCCCCCCTGTCCCAGGCCATAAAAAGCAGGATTTGCCCCAGGCACCCCACTCGGAGCACCCGGATCCCACCCCATCCCAGTCTCCGCAGGGCAATGGCCAGATCCCAATGCCCCATCTCCGGCAGCCTGCCTATTCCCATCCCGCCTCCCTGTTTTCTTCAGGGGTTCCTCCTCCTCCTCCCACTCCCTTCCCCTGCGCATTATTATTATGATTTTATTCTAATGCAGAAACGCTTCCATAAAAGGCCCCTTTCCCTGCCCCGCGGCGCTGGCCCTGCGCCAGCCTCCCTGGAATGTTCTCCGGCAGCGAGCTGCCGCGGACGGGGCCGGCAAGGGCCGTGCCGTACTCCACACCGTGCCCCGCACACCACCACGCTCTTCCCCTGGGGATGCTCAACCCAGGGCCCCCAGCCCCCAGCCAGCCCCAGCTCCCGAGGCTGGTGATGGGGGGGGAGATGTACAGCTCCCCCACCATGGGACAGGCTGGTCCCACAGCCAGGTAGGGCCGATGCCCACCCCTTTCTCTGCCACCAGCACCAGGTTTGCAGGCTACAAATTCTCCTTCGGCTGGAGAAGGGAGAAAACTGGGGTGCCCGTGGTTGTGTTTCCCTGCCCTAGCGGATTCTCTGATGTCTAATACGGGCTTGTGCTCATCCAACACCACTCCTCCCATCCACAGGAGACACCAACCTGAGCTGTATGGCACCCTCTTATCCCAGAAAGGCAGTTTTCCAAGGACTGCAGGAACACAGCACTGTTTTCAGCTTCCATCCGTCTCTCACGTTTGGATCAAACATGCCCCAGGTTCAAGAAGAGAGACGACCCTGCCCCAAGCAACAGACCCCTTCCTAGGGAAGCCGAGCTCCTGACCCAGGAGTGCAGGAGCATCCCTCCCGCCTCACGGAACCGGTGAGAACATCACCCCACACAGGACCACGGCAATCCCCAGCACCGCTGCCTCCTCCGTCCACGGGCACCCCCACGTCCCCCAGTGCAAGGAGGGGTGGGGAAGGCGGGGGGACCTGCACACCCCTGGTCCGGGCTTCGCCTCGCCACGGCAGACACAGCAGCCTTTCTTCTCCCCCCCACCGGTGTTTGCATTCCTGCCGCCCGGCCCCCGCCGCCGCGACCCCGCCACCCAGCAGCCCTGCCCAGGAATGCGAGGAACGAGGCGCAGCAGGGCTGCCGCCCACCCCACCAGCCCCCCACAGCCCCCCACCCGCCCACCCGGCCCCCCAGGTCGCAGCCCCATCCCTCCCAGCAGCCCCATCCCACGAGCCGCTGCCTTGAGACCCAGGATTTCCCAAGCAGCAAAATCAGTTTCCCAGCAAACAAGGCCCCGTGGCCATGAGTGGTGGAGACTCTCTGATGCCTGGTAAAGGGTTGGGCACACCCTGCAGCCTTCCCCTGGAGGGCAGTGATGGGCTCGCTCGCTCGCTCACAGCCAGCTGTCACCATACTTAGAGAACTCAATACCCTTGAGATGTCCAAGCCCAGAAGTAAACACCTGGACAGCAAACTCCTGGCAGCCCCTGGCCACACCGCCCCAGGTCAGAGCACCCCGTGGGAGCCCTCCTCCACCAAATCCCACCAGCTGCAGCTCAGGGACCGGCCTCTGCACCCCAAATTCCCACCGGGATTTCAGCCCCGGTTCACAAGCACTGAGCGAGTCTGGAGGGATGAGGACATCCACCACGTACCCAGTGATGACACACCCCGGAGCCTTCTCCATGCTGCAACGACTCCTCACATCTCTCTCCCAAATCCTTCATTTCCCTCCTCCTCCTCCCTCAGCAACACAATCCCTGCAGCCACGGAGGTGCCCAGCGGCATCGCCAGGTCCCGCTCCAGCTGCAGCATCCCCAGGGGTTGTAGCCCCAGCCTGCGGGATGCCAGTGGGGCCCGGGGGGAGACAAACCTCCACAGAGGGACCCCGCAATTTGGGAGCAGGCTGGATCAGTGCAGCACCAGACACGGGGCGGGCTGGGGGAGCACAGGGGTCCCACCCAGCAGGGCTGCTGAAGCCAGGCAAGCACTGGCCCGCAGCCCACAGCACGGCCCGCCCGGCTGCCGGTGGGCAATGCAGGCCCATCTCTGACGCATATCCCTTCCTTTGGGTGGTGGTTTTTGTTTTTCCCTTCCCCAGGAGCTCCGATAAACATTCCCGAGCCGGCCGATATCCGGGCCAGTGCTGACCCTTGCGATGCCGGCAGCAGCCACCCCAGCCCTCGCACAGAGCCCGGCACGCCGGAGCCACTTCCCACAGCCAGGCACCGAGGTGCCGGCGAGCCAGCCCGGCTGGTGCGGTCAGAGCCACAGATGTGCTGTCAAAAGGGACCCGCCTGGCATCCTGGACACCCCCACACAGCAAGCCAACATCAGGCAGGCACAGCCCTCCGGGCCCCCCTACCCAGAAGGGATGTGGAGGGGAGCGAGGCACCCTACTCCCTCCAGCTCCCAGGAAGGGGGTCCCCTGCCCAAACCACCTTGTGGGCTGGAAACGCGGTTGCCAAAGAGGATGGTGAGTCAGTGACCAGACTGGCATCCCATGGGACAATGCTGGGGTGGCACCGACGCCAGCTCAGCCCACGTCACCCCACAGGGAACCTCATGGGGTCCCATGTCACCCCACAGGGGACATCTTCCTTCCTCGTGAAGTCACCTAAGCTTTGTGCCACCCACAGCCCAGATGGGCTATGCAGCAGCTCCCCACGCACCCCACGGTTCTCTGCTTACCCTAAGATCCTGCCCCAGGCAAGGGGGGGTCCCAGGGACAGCCACAGGCCATGCCAACCCCCCAGCTGGCCCCAGAGCCCTTCCCCTGCATGCCAGCCCCTCCAGAGCTGCCACAGCCACCAAGCCCTGATGAACCTGCTCTTAGCTGAAGTGTGGGGCAGAGTGGGAGCCCTGCTCTGGCACCCCACAGCAAAAAAGGCATTTTAAGGGGACAAGCTGGGGCCACCAAGTTGGGGACGTTGGTAGTCCCCTCTCCAGCACCCTTGTTCCCCTCTTCCTGGCGGGACCAGCCTCACCATCCTTTCCCCCTGCCAACCATAAGGGACTACAGGCTCTGGACTCAGAGGGTTTCCTTCCAGCCACCCCCCCTGCCCTGCACAAGGGTCAGCTCCCCCCTGCCCGCACCACGTGCTGCCTGCTCCTGCCCTCACATTTCTTGCAGCTCTGGCAAATCTCCTGTTTATGCAACAAGTCCCCGGCAGGAGGACAGCATGTTTCCATCCGCACCCGCTCCCCCCTCACCCCAGCTCCACCCTGCCCAGCACAGCCCTGGTGTGCGAGGCAGAGGGCAGCCATGTGGAGCCCCGGCCCCCCAGCATGGGGGTCCCAGCAGCACCACGCAGCCCCTTTCTCCACCCACCAGCACTCAGGGGCTCTGCTGGTTTTGGGGGTTCTCCCCTCGGGTGGGATAACCAGCGGCTGTGCCAAAGGGCCGAGGAGCAGCTTGGCCAGCGGCTGAGGGTGAGTCAGGCTGTGCTGACGCCGGGGCACGGAGGTCTCGCCGCTCCCAGGCTTTCCTCCAAGCATCTCTGGCCCACCCCACAGCTGGGTCAGGGACTGTCACCGTGCCATCCCCCTCTGTGCTGGGATGCCTGGCAGCACCCATGCCAGGTCAGAAGCTACCAGGCTGCCCTGCCCCTGCACTGCCCAAGAGATGCTGTTGGTACGCGGGGAGGGTACTGCACAGCAAAGAGCTGCCACCATGCCCCGGGGGTGTTCCCCACGCTGGGATGGACCCCATCCCCTCTCTCTCCACTCCCCCCCCCCGGGTATGTTCCCAGGGAGCCGCCCCGCAGCTCATCCCCGCCAGGAAGGCGGTGACAGAGCCAGGACAGAGGTCACCCAGTGCGCTCAGCCCTGTAGATCAGGGCTGAGATACCACGGGGGACACCAGCCACTCCACCCTGCAGTAGCCACGGGGGTGCTACCACTGGCACCCCGACACACCCCGGGACCCACAGCATGGCCAGGAGGGTGACGGCCCCCAGCAGCCCACGGTTGGCCAGGCCAGCAGCCCCAACATGGGGAGATGGAACGGGACAGGGAAGGAAACGCACAGGGAAGCTCTGAGGGGTTGTGATGGAGGCAGCAGCACCAAAATAGCCCTGATTTCAACCCAAATAAGGGCAGGTCCCAGCTCCGGGGCGGTTTGAGCAATCAGCCCCAGGATTGCCAAGTGCTGACTAGGGGAAGCGGGAAAAGGTTGCGTCCCTGGGCATGTTTGGGGGAAAAAGGGTATTTTTGGGGTGTCAGGAGGGGAAAAGAGGTGCCTCCGCATGCCCAGGCCAGGGGCTGGCCCCACTCTGCCAGTGGGCACTGGCTGGGCACGGGGCTGGCCACAAGCAGGGATGGGCTGTGTCCCAGTGCCTAAAAAGGCAACATCTGCAGGCAGCAAGTCTGGATGCGGCCCCACGGACCAGCACCTGCCTGGCACTAGCCCCACGGCCCCAGCCATGCCCTGCTGTAGCACCCACCCATGGGTGCTGCCACCCCCCCTGCAGGGACACCCCTACAGCCCAGTCCCATGGGGGCCCCATAACCAGCCTGCCCCAAGGGAGAGCATGGAGGCACTGCCCCTCTGCACCCCACCTGCCCCAACAAAGGATATGGGGATCCCCCAGCCCCTCATCAACCCCCCTGGCCCCAAATCGGCCACCAGGATTGGCCAGGGAGCAGCTCCCGCACCAGGGATTGGCTGGGACACAACTACAGGGGCTTCACCAGGATTGGTCCATGCAGAGATTCTTACACCGGATTGGTCGGTGCGTGGATTCTTATGTGGGATTGGGCAGTGACTGGATTCTCACCTGGGATTGGCCAGCGACTGGATTCTCGCACAGGATCGACCAGCGACTGGATTCTCAGACGGGATTAGTCAGGGCATAGATTCTCACACGGGATTGGTCGATACATGGATTCTGACATGGGATTGGTCAGAGCACTGATTCGCACACAGGATTGGTCAGAGCAGTGATTCCAGCACGGGATTGGCCCGCGTATGGATCCTCACACGATCAACAAATGGATTCTGAGCAGGGGTACTCCCACGGGATTGGCCAGCACACGGGCCCCTAGGGAGGCTGGCTGTGCCCCCCAGTGGGACCCTGCCCCACAGATCCCCTCTGCTGTGCTTGTGGGGCACCAGGAGAGCCCCATCCCTAGACCCCCCCTGCAGGCTTTGGGCCACCCCATGGCATTAGGGCCGCCTGCCTGTGCCCATGGGGCTGGGACCCACCTTGAAGGGTGGTCAGGGTGCCAAAATAAGCCCTGGCTGCCGCAGGGGGTCTACAACCCCCAACGCCAAGGCCTGGGGTTCCCCTCATGGGGAAAAGCCCCGGGCAGATGGAGGTTGGGATCAGGGCCGTGTTCCTACCCCACAGGACAGAGCTGAATATGCTGCGCTGAAACTGAACCACTGAGCAGCACCCCCAAAACTGGTGTTCCCCCATCTATCGTGTCAGGGGGAGTGTGGGAACAGGAGAGGGAAGCAGAGACCGAGCCGCTCCCCATCCCCCAGCCCAGGGGCTGTGCCCCAACACCGAGCGGGGCAGCTCCAGTGCAGACTGGGGGCTGCCGGCACGGTGACGGGATGCCCTGGGGATGGGCTGCAGGAAGCCAGGCATGGGACCATGGCAAAGCAAGGACGAGGTGGCCCAGGGCTTTGCTCTGGCAGCCCGCTCCAAGTAAGTCAGGGTGCAAATGGACCTCTTAGCTCGGGATCTCAAAAAAGGGGGGCACAGAAAGGCACAGCCCCAAGGCACAGTGCCCTGCCAGGGCCCAGCGGGGTCACTAACAGAGAGGCTTCGTCGGGGAGGGCGCAGGCTGGGGGCTCGTTTTCTCCCAACCGACTACCCCCCAAGGGTGTCAGCCCCAGGGATTGCTTCAGACTCCAGGCAGGACACATGGAGCCCTCCCAGTGCCACCACCCTGTAGGGACACGGCGTGTCACCTTGGGTGCCCTCCGGCACCCCCCAAATTCATCACGCAGCAGACGCCACCCCAGCACCCTCCATGAGAACCCGGGGGGGGGGGGGGGGGGGCGCAGTCACTGTCACCCCCCTGTCCCTGATAGCTGCCCCCCAGCACCCACACCGGGGTCCCCGCTCCCGCACCAGGGGCTGGCCCCGACGCCGAGCAGGATCAGGCACCCCGGGAACGGTTCAGTTCTTTTTTTTTTTTTTTTTTTTTTTTTTCTTGTTTTCCCCTTAAAACCAAGAGAGCTGATGCCTCGCTCGGCCGTTTCCTCTCCCAGGAGCACAGCCCAAAAACATCTGCGCCGGGAGCTGCCCTGCCCTGCCGGATTTAACCCTCTGCGGGCCCGGCGGCGCCGAGGGGCTGGGGGTCCCTGTTCGGGACGGGGGGGGCGTGGGGGGGGGGGGGGCTGGCACCCACCGGGGCTGCCGAGCTCCTCGCCACTCATTAACCCGGGGCTTAACCATTGACGGTCCCGCTGCGGGACCGGGGAGGGGGGGTTAACCCGTGGGCTGCCAGGGTGTCCCGGTTCAGGGGCTGCCCCTCCCGTGTCTCCCACTCCGGGGTGACAGGCAGCCGCCCGGCATCGCCCTCCTCGCCCCCCCCCCCCCCCCCCCCCCCCCCCAGGCCGCGGGGTGGGAGCGGGGTGCCGGGGGTGGACCCCGCTTTCCCGCGCAGCCCTCGCTCCCTAGGGACAGGTCTCTACGCACTTCGGAGGGGACGAAGACCCCAGCGCCTGTGTGCCCCCCCTCCGGGGCACCCTGCGGGTCACTGCCCTAGCGAGGTAGGGAGAGGGGCACGGCCCCCCCGAGACGCTCACAACTCCCAGCCGGCAGCAAACCGACCCTCACCCCCTCCCCAAATCCTCCTCCTTGCGAGCACTGCATTGCCCGCCTCCAAGCCCACCCCGCACCCCACCCCCCCCCCCCCCGGGGACCGACAGCTGGGGACCCCCCAAGACGGGGGGGGGGGGCAGCAACCCCCAACCACCCACCACCCCATCTCAGTTCGGATGTCACGCGTGGCCCCCGCCCCCTGAAGAGGTGCCACCCCCTGCAGCACACACAACCCCCCCTCCGGGGGGGTGGGGGGTTGGGGACCCCCGTGCCTTCGCCGCTCGCCCGTACCTGGTTCATGACGCTCCCGAAATCCATCCGGGGTCTCGCCTCCCTACATCCAAAAGGGACGGCAGCGCAGCCTCACCTGGCCCGGGGGGCGCGGGGGGCGGCCGGGGGGCGGCCGGGGGGGCAGGCGGGAGCCCGGCGTCGCCCGGGCGGGCAGGCGTGAAGGCAGACTGCAGGCAGAGCCCCCCTCCCTCCCCGGGCCAAGCCTGGAGAAGGAAGGAAGGAAGGAGGGAGGGAGGAGGGGAGGGGAGGGAAGGAGGGGGAGAGACCGAAGGGTTTCGCTCCCCGCAAGCGGGACCCCGGAGATGGAGGGGCGCAGGGGGGTCCCGCCGGCCCCCTGCTCCCCTCCGCACCCCCAGGACGGCCAGGGGCTGGGGAGCCTGGGGGCGCCGGCCCCAGCCCTTGGGAGGAAGGGGGTCCCGGGCGGCTTTTTCCACCGCTCCCCTCCCTCCTCTCGCTCCTTCTCCGTCTTTCTTCTCCTCTTCCCTCTCTCCCCAGCTGCACGGCGCGCTCCAAGTCCAGCCCCGCTCCGCTCCCCTCGCCTCCCCCAAAAACGCCCTTAAAGGCAACCGGGAGCCCAGCTCAGGCAGCTGGCCCTGGGCGAGGGGTGCCGGCAAGAGGGCAGACACCCCCCCTTCCCCCCCCCAAAAAAATATAACCCCCCACACCTCCACTGCCTCCCCTTGCAAAGCACCTCGCACCCTGTGCCAAGGGGCCCCGGCGGGTGGTGGGGCACAGGGGGGTCGGGGCCTTATCGCCCCGCGTGACGCCACTGGTGTCCCCATGCCCTTGGCGGGGGGGGGGGGGGGCTGGCAGGGACAGGGGTGTGGGGCCCTTCTTGGGGCCTTTATCTGCCTGGCACCCCCTGGCACAACTTGGTCCCCCCATGCCACACACAGGACAAGGTGCCCGATTAATGGTCCTTGGGTGTCCTGCACCCCCGGTGTTGGGGGGATGTGAAGATTTACCAGCCCACCCCCCAATTAAAAAGCCAAAATTCTTGAAAAGCCCCAGCTGTCCCTTGGCACGTGTAGCCACAGCAGTCACCGCTCGCCTACCCCAAACCCAGGGTGCGCCCAGCATCCCCCCTCGCCTTCTTCCCATCTCCCCACCTCCTCCTCCTCAGGGGCTCTGTGTGGTGATGGATGGAGCCCGGCTCTCCCCAGCCACTCCTGGAGCAGCCCAGCCCCAGCCCTGCTGCACAAGCAAGTGCTCAGTGCCAGGAGACCTGGGAGCAAAGGGGGGAAGCCCCCAGCAGTGCCAGGCAGCGGGGAGCCCGCCCAGTGGTGGCCCGCAGAGTGGCAAGCTGGCCAGGGAGCTGGCGAGCCAGGCACGCGGCCCAGAGCTGTTGACATTTTCTCACCCAACGCCTCCCCGTTCCTGTTTGCGTTTCCGTCCTTGCGCCATGGGCTCAGCCAAAAGGCTGGAGCTGGCTCTGCTGGCGCAGGGCAGGACCCTGGGGACACCTCCTGCCTCACCATCCCCCCAAAAGTCACCAGGGACGGGTTGGTGGTGAGGGGGCTCTCCCTCTGCTCTCCTCTAAGACTCCCATAAGATGCATCATCCCTGTGAGTGCAATCCCACTCCAGCAGATTCTGCCCAGCCCCTCTTGTGCCTCAGTTTCCCCATCAGCCAGAAGGTGCCATGGGATGGGAGCACTAAGAGGCACCTGTGGACCCTTCCCACTGCCAAGGACAAAGAGCCAGAGCCCAAACATCCCCGGGGGGCACCTCCTCACCCCCCTCCAGAGCAAGCACCAGCCCTGCTGCCCTCCTGCTGCACAGGGCTGGACTCCAACAGCCATCACTCTGGGCACAACCCTCCCCCCCACACACACCAGGATCCATTGGCAGCCCTAAACAAGCCCCCCCCAGCACCACAGCCCCCAAAAAACAGGCATCCCAAAAAGAGAGGAGTGCTGCAACTGGGATGGAGGGGCGATTAACATCCTGCACCAGGGGATCCAGGCACGGACCCCAGTTGGGCTCCAGCACAGACCCCTGCACGGACTCCTCCAGCCCCAGCTCCTCGGGAGGTGGCCGCAGGATGACTCCTGGACCCTGGGAAACACCATCAGCAGAAGATCCGGGGCCAGATGGGAAAATATCAGCAGCTGAGCGGGGTGGAAATGAGTGGGTGAGTAAAGGGCACTGACAGCCCATCCCCATCCCCAGGGAGGTGAAGGGAGCTGTCCCCTGGGGACATGACGTGTCCCCTTCACAGGACACAGCCAGAAAAGTCCTGACAACATTCCTGAACTCCAGTAACCAAAGTACCTCCCAGAGCCATCAGGTCAATGTGCTGGCGGGAGTGGGTCCTGTGGTCAGCCAAGTGGCTCCAGCAGCCTCTGCGCCCCATGGGGTACCCACAGCAACCCTGGAGAAACTACCCCCCACCTGAATCAGCTGCTCCATGGCCCAAAACAAGCACCCTTAACCATCACAACCCCAGATGTCAGTGGAAGAAGGAGGGCCTGGGGATGACCCAAACAGGGGGTCATCTCTGGAGATGAAAGCACACGGGAGGAGAAGCCCCAATGCAGGGTCTACAGAGCCCCTCTTGAGCCAGACTTTTTTGCTGATTTGAGGCCGGTGCCACTCCTTGGAGGGTGCTGGGGGTCCCTAAGGACCCAGCACCCTTCTCGGGGAAGATCTCAGGAGAGGTGACCATGGAGAATTCAAAGTGGTCCGGGAAGGGAGAAAATGGGTTGGAAACAAGGCAGAGACCCTCTGCAGGAGCCTCCACCCAGCCCAGATCCTGCTTTCCACCACCACTCGGCCCCGGGGGGCTGGATCCAGCCCTAGGAGCCCCCAAGGAGGGAGGCTGGTGGTCCCCACTGCCTCAGCTGACACCTCCCAGGCCAGCCCTGGGCCAGCGCTCACCAGTGCAGCGAGCGTGGTCAGTCTCAGCATCGCCGCTCCCTTGCCCCCCCTCCCTGAACGCAGCAGCACCCGGAGGGTGCAGAGAAGGGCCCCAGCTCCTCCAAGCAGCCGAGCCGACCCCCCCCTGGAGCTGAGAGAGGCTGAATATTTGGGCAGTGACGTAAAGAAGGGGAAAAAGGAAAGAGGGAGGAAAAAAAAAAAAAAAAAAAAAAAAAAAAAACAGAACCCCCTCCAGGACCCGCTGCACAAACACGTCCTGGCACAGCACTGGGGCAGGGCTGACCCCCGGCAGACCCCCATCCTGCCACCCCGGCTGGGCCCATGCCAGGGCCAAGGACACATTCCTGCGGCATTCCTCCCCCCTGCCACCCGCTCTGTTGTGGAGACCAGGGGTGTTGCTAATTAGCTGTCCCGAAGCACTGGAGGGGGTGGCTTTTAACGGGGCATCGAGGACAGGGACGGGAAAGGCAGCTCCCCGCGTGACTGGCACGTCATCCCCTCCGCTGCCCGGGGAGGAGGCCGCGGGGCAGAGTGGCCCAGGGAGTGAGGACAGAACAGCCACATGTCCCCTACCACGAACCTACAGCAGCTGGGACACGGCTGTCCCCTGCCTGCAGCCTCCGTTCCTGGCACAGCCACGGGGAACCCGCGATGCACCACCTGGCCGTGCCCCCCCCAACACTGCCCGGGCCCCCCAACCACGGAGTGCAGGGTGCCCATCACCGTGAGTCAACCCTGCGCAGAAGCGTCCAACCACTCCCTGCCTCAGTTTCCCCTCCCGGCTCTGACATGCTTTACAAGTAGGGGGGTTCCCCGGGAACAGCTGAGGGCAGGAGACACACATCCCCTTCGCCACCACAGCACAGGTCCCACTGCATCCCCACCACCACCAAGGACCCCGTTGGCACCGCAGGCACTGGGAACGACTGCTCCGGCCAGGACGCGCCTCACTGCCTGGCCCTGGCCCCGCTCCAGCTCCCGGTTTAATAATGGACAAACATACCCCCCCCCCCACCCCCCCCCCCAGAGTCCCATCGCAGGGGAGCACTCGAAAAACAAGCCAGGCCTGGCGCGAGGCCAGCGGGGATGGATGGCACTGAGCTGGGAGCACACGCGTGTGACCACCCGCCGTGTGCGGGCACGTCTGTGCACACGGAGGGATGTTCTTGCACCACGTGCATTCCCTTGCAGGCTCGCACGCACGTGCAGGCATCTGCGAGCCTACCTGATCATGCACACACGTGCACACGCATGATCGTGCAAACACACTTGTGTTCAGGCACCTATATGCACACACACGTGCGTACACACACAGGCAAACACATACTCGCACACATGGCCCAGCAGCCCGGCACGGCTCCAGTGCCCACTGGCAGCTCCCTGAGGGGGGGACACTAGGGGACAAGGCAGCCCCTCCCAGATGCCTCGGCCCCACGCTATGTGTCGTGCCTCAGTTTCCCCTCTTGGCACAGCCTGGTACCCCCCACTCCTCCAGGACCCGTGGGCCCCGGTGTGTCACGGGGCGAGTGGGGCAGGCTGGAGCCCCGCCAGGCCCCGGGGCTGGCACAGACGCCACTTCCCAGAACCACCCGGCAGCGATCGCCAGCCGATTCGGCAGCCAAACACCGCAGCTCTCCCCGTCCCACAGCCAAACCAGCCATCACCGGGCTGGCTCCCACCATGGGAAGAAGCATTGTCTCGATCTTTTCTCAGCCTCTCCAAGCAGCATCATGGCAAAATCCAGACCCAGTCAGAGCAAGCACATCCCAGGGGATGGGGACACCCGCAGCAGCTCCCTTGCTCCATGATTTGAGACATTCCTGCACAGCCCCATTACCCAGAGCAACCTTGGGCTCATCCCTCCATCCCGGACAGGAGGGCAGTGTCACCACCAGATCCTGGCTGTGCCACAGCTGGCATATGCCAACACATGGGCTCACCTGTGCCTGATCACTGCCACGGAAAGCACTGTACTCCATGTCGTGTCCCCCACCTCCGGCTGCCCCCGGGGAAGGACTCTGTGACTCAGTTTCCCCACTTTTCAAAGGAAGCTACACCCCTCCTGCTTTGGACAGACAGTTTCAGTGCAGGGAGAGAGGGAGGGAAGCAAGCTGGGGGGTCAGATACACACCAGTGTCCATCTGTCTGTCCGTCCCCCTTGGAGGGAGGGAGGTTTACTAAGCGAGGAAAAATCCCTGAGCAGAGGCGCCGGGCGAGAGAAGGGCCTTACATGGGCATGGGAACGGCGTTGTGCTTCCCAGCTGATGTGTGTGCGGCTGCCCCGGCCCCCCCAGAGCCGCCCACGGGCACCAGGCACCCTGCCAGCATCGCTGCCACCACAGGGCACAGGTCCCACCCCTGTCCACCCCACTGCCCCTCAGGCAGGGGGGGTGTTGAGGGGTGCAGGTCACTGCTGGGGTGCAGGTCCTGCCTGCCCTGGCACAACTCTGCCCACTCACTGCCTCCTTGGGGATGTGGCACTCACCAGCACCCCAAAACCTCCCTGGTGTCCCCACATACACCCCTGTGTCTCCCCCCTTATCCTCATCACGCCCATGATACCCCCTGACACCCCACACCCGTCAC